GGGACCAGGACCCAGAGCTCCATTCTCCCTGCTGGGTTCAGTCCCTCCTGCCGCCGTCCATTCCTCCAGGCCTGACAATTTGCAACAGGCCACAGAGAGGTTCCCTTATGTGTACATGGGACATCTGTGGCATTTGGTTGTGGACACAGTGGGAAAGGCCACAGCTATGTTCCTGGCTGTCAAAGACATGGCAGCTGGTTTTAACTTCCGTTTACAGTCACTCTGGGACTCCCATTGATTCATTACTCAATCAGCAAATATTTACCACTTGACTCTGGGCTGGGCAGTGCGGATACAGGATGACTCTTACAAACGCAGTTGTCTGGTCCTTGTCATAAAGCCTGGGGTGATCTTGGACTTTCTATCCCCTGAGTCTTCGGTGAGGCTTGGAGGGCAGGATGAGGGGCAATGACAAGGAATTACAGGGAGATGTGCTGTATTTAACACAGGGACAGACTGTCTAGTAATTACAACTATTCAATAATGGAGTGAGTTGACTCTGGAAATAGTGAATTTTCAAGGAATCCTGGGATTGTTCTACTATTATTCTTCTATATTATTATTTATCTTGGGAACTATAATTTATGCTCTGTCAAGGATTAATCTAGGTGACTTCTGAGTTCCTCTCCAACTGTATTTTTCTATAATATTTGTAAGTCATCTTCCAAATCTATACATTCAAGGTTGGACGACTTTCATGGTCTTCAAAGTGATCCATGTACTTTCTGTGCCACTGAGGAGTTTGGGGAAACAGAAATGCCCTTTTATTACAGGAATTCGACTGAATATTTTTCCCCCTATAGACAATCTAATCCATTTAAGATACTGTAATATTTTAGTGGGAAAATGTACAGCAGTTGCGGTCAGGGGAAGGGAGAGGATGGCGAGGAGATAAATGACATAGTGAATATGGTGACTTACATAGGGAATCTGGGGCTCGGTATTTTAGTTTGTGGTTGTGTTTATCATTCCGTGGGTGCTGTTATCACTGCTGTTTCCTAGAACTGTCTAGAGACTAATTATAGGTCTAGCTATGTGAGGATGAGTAATGAGACCTCGCATTTGGCAGATGGATTCAAGAGTAAACCTCACGTGAAAACTGATCACATTTGAAGATCCTTGAACCCTTCTGATTTAGTTGGTGTGCAGAGGTACGTATGGTTCCCGTGTGCTAAGATGCTCAACTCCATACCAGAGTGAATTCCAATGCGAATCCATATCGGGAGGCCGGGAAGGTGCTCCAGCTCGAAGGTCCCCATGAAGCTGAGGATATCCAAGGCCATCTTGGCAATGTCTATTGCATGCCGGTTTCCGTTTCTCTTAGGCAAACCACTAGCCACCATGTAGGCATCACCAATGGTTTCCACCTGTGGAAGTAGGTTCTCATCAGTGAATCTGCCCCTTCTAATGGCACAAGAAATTAAACAGAAGCAGTTAATCGCATATTGAATACAAGCATTTTTGAGAACTCAGTATAAGAACAGCCCTGTACACTTTTTCTGGGATTAGTTCAAGGTTAGTTGTACGATAATTTCTTCAGGATTTCTGTAGCCTGGTTAAACGGTTGATAAAACAACCATAACGGATTTTAACCAAATGAAAGCACTTCATAATAATATTAATCAATGACAATTCTATCAGTGTTGACGTGCTGACAATTCTATCAATGTTTAAATAATCTGAATTGTTTTATCTTAATTTTTGGAATGCCTCTAATTACCAGAAAAGTCATTGTTAGCACTTATCATTTTTGACAGTAATTGTGGGTTCCTCTAAGACATAATACACATTCTTGTAGTATGATGATACCAATCACTTTTCTTGTAATAGATGGTAGATTTATATTAACATTATTCTTCAGTAGATGTTCTCCCTCTTAATTTTATTTTCATAATCATATTCATAGTTCATGTGTTGGTCAGGTAACTTCTTGCTGAGTATTTCTAAAATGCATAATCGTTTTCTGCTCAACAAGAACTCTTGTTCATATGGCTTTCTGATCTACATGGGGTGAGGACTGGGCTAAGATTAACCTTAAAAGGAAGTCCCCTCTGTAGGTAATACCATCATAACAGACTGTTATATGAGTGACCTCTAAACTTAAGGATACAATGCATATTGTTTATCTTGTAATTTTCACAGTAATCCACTGAGTTAGGTATTGTCATCATCCCATTTTACAGGTAGGTAAACAGACTTGGTGAAGTCAAATACTACATTTTATGAGGTTACACAATTAGGTGAGGCAAAATGGGATTTAAATAAAGAGCTCTAATTCTGAAGTCACTTGTTTCATATGCTCTGCAGCTTTTCCAACATAAAAATGTGGGAATTCAATTCTCCTTTGCTGTTCTGGCTCAGACGTTATCAGCCTGGAGCTGGTCAGCACCCTCGTTAGGTAACAGATCCAGGTCTGAACTTACACAAGCCTCCTTGCTCTTCCTCAGTCTTTTTCCAATCATGCTTGTTATTGCAACAACTACAACAACAAAAGATTCCTATTGTACTTAGCATAACCCTGGTGTCTTCCCTGCTTTATTTGTAATCGGCCTGAATACTGTCCATTGTTTGAAGATAACTGAAGAATAAACCATCCTCCCCACGTTTTGTCTGTCACATGGTTTCTTAAAGTCACATGGCCATTTTGACCTCTGATCCATCCAGTTCTTCCGCCTCCCTTCACTTTTAGCTCATATTCCACCACTAATTCATTAAATCTTAAGTTACGCAGGACAAGACCTGCATATAGGCAGCCCTGTGTATCCGCGAGTCCTGCATTGTGGATTCAACAAACCATGAATCAAAAATATATGCATCTTGCTTTTGCCTTATTTTTACCATTAAAAATCTTTCATAACATTGCCTTGTTTAAAGTACATGCATGCCTTACTTTCATAAAGAAAATTTCAATTAAAAAAGTGACTCTGTAAGAGGAAATTCATGAAAGGCTGTGGCAGAAAGTATTTACAAATATTTGCTTCCACTCCCTGCCCTACTGGCTACAAATTAGAGCATGTGAGTTGCTTTGACCAGTGAATATTTCAGACCCAACATGTGGTTTCAGGTAACATGGTATTCAGACTGAGGTTCCTTCATTAGCTTGGGTCCCAGAGTGAGCGTATACATAGCAACTAACTGACTTCTGTCATTTTAGGTTTAGTGTTTTGAATCAAAAGTATTTTTTAAAAAATTCCAGAAAGTTCTAAAAAGTAAAACTTGAACTTGCCACACTCCAGAAACTACCTACATAGCATTCACATTATATTAGATATTACAAGTAATCTAGAGATGATTTAAGGTACACGGGAGGATGTACGTATATGCAAATACTACATTATTTTATACAAGGCACTGGAGCATCTGGGGATTTTGGAATTTGCGGGAGGCCTGGAACAAATCCTGGGGGATACTGAGAGAGACAGGTCATAGCAGAAACAACCAGTTCCGGCTCTGCTGACCTGGGGCTGAACCATCACCTCCGCCTGCCAGGTGAAGCGGTTACCTTGTACACGTCGTGGTGGTCGAGGATGTGGTCAAAGCTCTTATAGATGTCGTTGAGCATGTCCACCACCTCCATGGGGGTGCTGTACTTGCAGATCGTGGTGAAGCCCACGATGTCACTGAAGTAGATCGTGACTTCCTCGTACAGTTCAGGCTCCACGATGCCCTTCTCCTTCAGAGACTTGACCACCAGCCTGGACAAAGAAGGAAAAAGCAATGCCTTCAACTTCAGTGAAGGTCTTCTTCCTCTACAGAAATCTCTGAGACAGTCATAATTGTCCACCGGAATTCTAGAATTTGGGCTGTCCGGCGAACTGTGTGGCTAGGAAGCAAAGATAGTTTGCACACATCATATATATGAACATATTACCCACACACACGTAACATGTTATCTGATCTCAGATGAATATAAGGATGTTCAATATTAATACTTGATCATAGCCCTAATATACAAGTATACATAATGCTAACACCTGCATATCCTTAATACTTGCTCACTTTTTAACCTCCCTATTGATTGTCAGCTTCTTCTAGATACAGCTCTATAACCAGCTACTGAGAAGGAGCGTGTGTCATTGATGCTAAGGACCTGACTCATGATCTGAGCTATCACAGCTGACTTTCTCATCAGTTAATAGTTTTACTTCCCTGGCATATTTAACATGGCCTTGTTTACTGTCACTATGAAGGAATAATGCATTTAAAAATGAACTTTGATATATCCCGAACCAGAGTTTACTTGAAATATTTTGCACCAGGATTGGGTCCTTTAAAAAAGCAGCATCAATTACCATGTAAACAAGTTTTAAAAAATTATGCTAAAACTGCAGAAGTCAAATAGAAGCAACTTAGAATATCTCTGTTGAACAGATATAAAGAGCAGCGTATCAGACTCAGAATGAAGACAGAAGAACTAGAGAAGGGACTCCATGCTTCCTTTATGGGGTGGGGCTGACATGAGGCTGCGTGTTCTGTCTGCCCTTGAGATTACTTCCTAAAGGACCAGAGTATGGACTTCCTGGAAGTAGGGAGGTACCACAGACATCATGGAGGAGAAATCCCTTGTTTTTACAGATGAGAAAGCTGAGGCTTAAAAAGAAAGCATGATTTTCACAAGGTCTCAGAGCCAGTCCTAGCACTCAGTAACTCTTTTTTTTTTTTTTGCACCACATTTCCTCCACAGCCCAGGCCTTGGATACCCAAGGAGATGGGGAAGTTTTGGAGGCGTGCTGCCTGAAGTGAGGGAAGAATGTCTGGCACTTTCTGGGAAAACAGACAGCCAACCAACCACGAGGATACCCAGGACCACTCAGAGAACCTCTGGAGCAGCGAGAAGTCCCTTCACTTGGTGCAGTGATGAAATGAGGGACCTTTGAAAAACACCCCTTGGGGTGTGGCTGGTTAGATTCGCAGAGGCACTTCAGTGGTCTCGGCGTGCCCAGCGTGAGGTGCAGATTATACTGGAGGCTCCCCTGATGTAATGACGAGATTGGATATTCCACCACTTCTGCCCTCCATTTTCACTGCTTGGGTCTAAGTCACGTGAGCTTGGAAAACACTGTGTTACCTGAGACAGAAACTACTGTTGGTAGATCCATGAAGGAAGGGCTCTGACTTAGCCCGGTGAGCTTTGACAACAGGCTGCCACCGACACAGAAGCAGTGTAGGGCAGGTACCTTAGCAGTGCTTCCCGTAAGTAGAAAGAACCTCTACTTTAATCTGTTGCAAAACCCCAAGGTGTACTGCGGAAAAAGTGTTTACGAGAAATCCAGCTCCTGCGTGCAATTTGTTTTTTTACAATTTTGCTGTAGCTGTTTATCTTTGCTTCTTCTAGGTATTGTTCATGTATATTTTAGTTTCCTTTTTGCAAATATAAAGAGTCTGTACATAAGTGACCAAAGTGAGTTGCCCTGTAGTCAATGGAGATTAATTCCAGCCACTGTTACACACAAACTTTGGCAATCCAGCAAAAACATCTACCATCTAGTGGTCAAAGCGGCACACTGAGCCAAAGGTAGGACAAAAGCAGAGGTGCTTCAAGTCCTGTGAGTGATATTGCGGGTTAAAACCATCAGTGATCGAACCCTGGGGAGGCAGTTAAATTATCAGGCTGCTGTTTTTGTCACAACTCAGCATGAAAGGCCAGGCAAGGAACTATGCTTCTGTAACGAACATTTATGCAGCTCCAACAGAAACCGCCATCTCTAAGGTGAACGTTAAGGGTTCCAGGCTACGCCCAGGGTGCCAACGCCAGGCAGTCCTCGGCACTCGGAGGGCACACGGGTTCTGCATCAGGTTCTCTTCAGGACCAGATGACAGAACAGAGCGTGTGTGTAATTCCTACCTCTTCCTTCAGGCTTGTAGAAGAGAAACTATTTATTTAGAGAACGTTTCCTGTGATCTCAAAACCATTTTTTTATTCATGTAGAGCTGATATGCTAAATGAAGCATGGGTTCAAAATAAAACAATAATAAATACGAGTAATATATAAAAGTCATCACCACTATGCCTAATAATAACCACCATGGTCGTTCGAGACACTGTGCTAAGTACCTTATAGTCTGCACGTTATTTCGGGGGATTCTTTGAGCCAGCCTCTGGGGCAGATGGGAAACTGAGGCTTGCAGCATTTAGGGGACTTGCCCAAGGCTGCAGATCCCTCATCGGCAGTGGAACCATGATTTGAAGCCAGGCCTGGCTGACCTCAGTTTCCACGATTTCATCCAGTGCTAGGCTGCCTCGCTTATCCTCATCTAACAGGACGGCTTATCACACAGGAATAAGAGCAGAACACTGCCTCTTACTCGTGACGGCTGTGGGTCCCTTGGCCCAACCTATTTCCCAGCTCTCCACATTTTAATTTCTTGCTTATCTTAAAATTTCTTAGTTATCAACCGAGTACCAATGGGGATAAAAAGTTAAACTGTTTGGGATTTCAACCCTACCTCCTTTCTCTTCTGTCATGGCTGTAATATTGTTTCCCCAAATAGAGATCAGACCATAAATGCCTCTGTGATGAGACACGTGGGGTGGGGGGACGAGACCCCACCTCCTCCATTAAAGACAGCTCCCACTTCTTATAATTTGGCTTCTACTTTGAGGCGGACAGAAGAAAGTGAAGACACTGACTCTTAGTGCCTGAAAGTGCCTTACAGCTCATAGATTCTGTAGGAAAACTTTAATTTCCATTTTTGGACCGAAGAGAGACAGTGTCTCGCCTGAGGTCGCAGACTGAGTAAAAGTGGTCAGGAGGTGCTGGAGTCCAGGTCATTCTGACTCCACTATCCACGCCCCTTCTGTGGCACCACGTGGCCACTGGAAAACCACCTCTTTCTTCTAGCTAATTAGAAAGTGCAAACCAGGACGAGGCTTAGCAGGGTACATGCATCTTCAAACACAACAATCTGTTGAAGAATATGCAAAAGGGAGCAATCTCACAGAACTACAGAGCAAACCAACGCTTGACAAAGACGGTTCGACTTCCAGCCTTAAGGGCTGAGGCGCAGGAAGTCACGTCCACGGGAGAAAAGACTTCCTTACCTTGGGAGCAACATAAAATTGAGTCTGTCAGCTCTGTCCCGCTCTGCCTTGTACAGCTGGGTCCTTTCCTCCACCAGATGTTCCAGGTTTCGGGAATACAGCTGTAGACGTCGGATCAAGGTATCCATATAACTTTCATTTTTTTGGTCATGGAAAAGGCTGGAAGTAGTAACAGATACAGAGCTCTCTATATCATTAAGGAAACATGAATTAAAATGAGGGGCAAATATCATGAACAGGTAATTAAACAAAGAGAATAAAAATGGCCAATGAATGCAGCAAAAAAATTTGAACTCAGGAAGGATCAAAGAAATAGAAATAACATTTTTTTTAAAAAGAAAAATAAATGTTAGAACAATGGTCATCAGTGAAGGTATGAAGAAGGAAAAATACACATTACAACCTTCCTGCAGGGAGAGCTGCTCAAATGTGTCATAAGCTAAAGAATGCCGTACAGGTCAGCCAATTGACTCTGCTTCTAAGAATTACCCCAAGGAAGCAATCACGAATGTGCTGAAAGTTAACTACAAAGAAAGTCACAGTATTCTTCACATTAGTAAACATTTAAAAGCAACCTGAATGTATAACAAAGAGTAACTAAAATATTATGAAGCAGTAGAATAGGAATGTACCATTAAATACATATTAGAATCGTGAAATACACAGAAAGATGTTACTGCTATATTGTTAAGTAAAAAAAGCCAGTTTATAAAACAGCAAGAATTATAATCTCATTTTCAATTTTTGAAAACTGGTGGTCATCTATGGAGAAATAGGTAATGCTTTTACTTCCTTGCTTATTCATATTTTTTTAGAATTTTAATAATAAACAATTTGCAATAAAGGGAAATATAAGAAAAAGACCAAGAAAAGTAAAACTGAGCCTTACATTATCTCTTCAGAACAGAGTCAGGGTCCTAAAGCAGGAGACCTAACTTGGATTATTTTGTTAGACCAAGATGACTAAGGGGAGACAACGGCTTCTTGGGACCCTGTGGCAGGTCTTGGTGCAGAGCCCAGTCAGGACGTACACCGAGTTCCTGCCTGGCTGCCGAGAGGACCACAGACAAAGTTCATGTACGGCACAGCCGGAGGGGAGGAATAAATCAGACCACCTCATTATCACGACAACAATGAAAAGTTGCCACTTCTGCACTCAAAAAGATGGACTGCATCGTAATTCACTTGGTGTGGGGCGGGGTGTCTGTTAAAAATTCAAGACATTGCTGAGTCCTATCGCAGACCTATTATGACCGGAAGCTGCTGGCTTGGGATTAAGAGAATTTTTTGTTAGCAAGTTCCCTAGGAGATTCTTACTTGAAACCATGATGGAGTCCAGCTGGGTAGAAAGGGTGAGGGAGGGAGTAGGGGTAAAAGATGAAGACGGATTATCTTACTTCACGATGAATTAATTCAATTAAAGCAGGTTCCTCAACCTTGGCTGCATATTTTAATCACTCGAGGAGCTTATTTAAACTCCTGATGCCAGCCTGCACCCAGATTGCATCAGACTCTCCAGGGTAGGACTCTGGCATCAATATTTTAAAAATCTCCCCATGTGATCTCAATGTGCCGACAAGTTGAGGGCCGTCATATTAAAGGCTAAATAGCACGGGGCCAGTTTTATCTTCTTGAGTGTATGTTTCATCTGTCACACATACAATCTCATCTGCTCTTAATAACAGGTCTGGGAAGGAATGAAAAGGGCCAAGAATTAAACCATTTATTATTTGCTGCTCCTTTCGCACACATGATGGTTTAGATCTACCAATCAGTGGCCACACTTTGTCTTCACTCTCCCTCATCTCAGCCCTGAGCTTTGTTTAGCCTCATTAAATGTCTGTGTCTTTGACTTGATGAGAACTACAGGAGAAGCAGGAAGGAACTGCAGAAATCATCTCGTTCATTTCAGTTTTAGCAGCAACAAAACCAATACCCAGTTAGGGTGAACACTTTGCCCAATGTCTCACAACAAACTATTATCAGATCCTAGTCTAGAAACTGGATCTCCTAACTCTTACTGCAGGATTACTTCTCTCACTCTGCCTTGTATCTAACTGAAGACGTGGGAAATCTAAAATGCAATCTTATTGGATAATTGTGTGTTATTTTTTGGATCCTGAATTATAATCTGACTCATGGCTCAAGTCTTAAGTGCTTAAGGTCAAAGTTGCTGATCTTAAGATTTTAAAATTTTAAGAAATACGCTAATCTTGAGAATTATCCAGGGTCTCTGCAGATTCCTAGGATTCATACTAGATGTCTAAATCCTAATTACCTGCAGAAGGGTCAGGGAACCGTATTGTTAACATATGTATTTATGATCAGTCAGAATTTACTTTCTAATCAGGTGAGTTTTGCCCTTGAGTATTTAACTTTTCAAGTGACTATTTCCCTGAGATAATGTTCTGTTCGTCTCTGTATCATTTTAATTTTTTTGAGACAGGTATTACAGTCTGAGATTTTTCATTAGAAAAGACATTTTCATTCTTAGATGCCACGGAATGTCAACTATTATTAGAAAAATCTGAAATTAGTGAGGAAAAGTAAAAACTTCAGCAATACCCAAATATCTTGGCCAATGTGTTCTCAATTTTCTTGAAGTCTGGTCTCTTTTCTGCATCTTCCTCCCAGCAGCTTTTGACAAGCAGGTAGACCTGGAAGGAAGAGGTGGATTAGCTCAGGGCGGGGGGGTATCCTACCCTATTCTGCTCACTGATGGGAGTCACTGAGGTGGGGAATTTTTTTAAAGAATTTCAGCTCTGACAATGAGGATGAGATGGCCCAGTCCCCTGCAGCGTATCTCAGTCATCACTCTCTGCCTCACCCTTCCCTTCGGTCCTCTTTTTCTTTCTTTTTTTTTTTAGATTCCACATATGAGTGATATCATATGGTACTTTTCTTTCTCTTTCTGGCTTACTCCACTTCGAATGACATTCTCCAAGGACATCCGTGTTGCTCAAATGGCATTATGTTTTCATTTTTTTAATGGCTGAATGTCTTCAGTCCTAAACTGATGAAAATGGTGATACTGATTTGGACGGGGCTGGGTTGATGGGAGAGACAAAATGCTTTACAGACATTTTTGCAGGGTTTATGTTAGGGGCTGGGGAAGGCAATAAATAGCTAGGCTTGGTGAGAACGAGGCAAGTGACTGTAAGCCAGAGTGAGGCTCTATGACACTAGAATTCCACCACGCCTGACAGTGGAATCGTCTGCGGAGCGTTCACAAAATTTCTTACGCCCAGACCCCACCCCAGGAGAAGAGTCTGAATTAACTGGTTTGTGAAGGGGCCTTAATAGGGTTCTCAGATTTAGCAAATACAAACACAGGACATCCAGCTAAACCTGAATTTCAGATAAATAGTGCATATTTCCTTAGCCTAAGTATGTCTCAGATACTGCATGGGCAAAGGACAATAATCTATACATTTGTAAGCTCCGCAGGTGATGTCATCAAACCCTAGCTGTAGCGGAGAAGAGAAGTGAGGAAGGGGAGGTATGGAGGAAGGGGAGGTATGGAGGAAGAGGGAGACCAGGAAGCTCGTGGAAGCATTGTCTCCTTTGATACCACTGGTTTGCAGCTTTTGCTGGACCAAAAGGCATGGACAGAACTATTTGTTTTCAATGAAGTTTGTTCTCCACTCGACCCAAAACAAGATCACAAGGGTACCAGAAGCAGTCCCGTCTGTATCTGCGTTCTTCACCTTAACGCGTCCCCAGCGAGGGAGAGGACCGGGACATAGAACCGTGGTTGCCCGTATTCACCACTAGGTGGTGCTCTCGCCTGGGAAAATGACTTGCCAGCGACAGGAGCACCGACAAATGCGCAGATGCAGCACCGCCCGCGAAATTGCTGATGCTCCTCAGGCGTTGCCAAGTCAACCCGTGTCAGGCCTGTGTCCTGTTGGAACGCGCTACTAGATACGGCGTCTAACTCCTCATCTCCAGTTCCAGACCCATCACGCTACACGAGTGAATCGAAGAGGAGGATGCTTTGGTGAGAGAGGTTTTAAACAATATACGGATATACTCAGACGAGACAAGAGTTTCGAGAAGAGATATGCTGATGTGCGGGGAGGGGTCCTAGGATCCAGAAAAGCAGGAGGAAAGGAAGCGGGAGGAGACGGCAAGGATAGGAGATGTATCTTAGAGCCTTGGGGACACAAGTGCCTTTTATATTGAAAGAGAGGAGAGAAGTAAAAATGGCCAATCCACGCCCAGCCGAGGCGGGCCATCACCCTCATCTGGCGGGTGCCTGTGAACTGAAGGAAAATGTTTTTATCTTTATCCTGCAGGGAACATAGTTTACAGAAATGTTTGATGACCATAAATAGCTTTGGGGGGAGGGTAATTTATTGATTTTATTTATTTTAGAGGAGGTACCAGGGATTGAACCCAGGACCTTGTGCATGCTAAGCATGTGCTCTGCCTCCTGAGCTATGCCCTGCCCCCCTATAGTTTTAAAACACAGACTTACTAATATTCTGGACTATAAAAGCTCAGATAAAATTCTTCTTAAAAAATTTAGATTTTTTTTCCCACAGGCCTTAAAGACCTTTATGAGAGATTATTTTAAAACTTAAGCCAGTATAAAGAGAAAAATCTCCAATTTCTTCAGAGGAAAGACAGAAAGAGTGAAAGTATGTTTCTCTATTGTTTCTAGATGTTGGCATATTTACTTTTTAATCAGTAGGTGGTATTTATAACCTTAATAAATGCATCACATGGACATCTTGCTCTTTTAGCTCCTAGTAACTGAGAACGTGGTTGTGAGTAAGGAGCTCTTGCCCAAGTCGAGAGGGGTGGGAAAGGACACAGGAGTACGGGAGGCTGTCAACGGCTCCCAGGGATATGTTCTAACCCTGGCACCACTGAAGGTTACCTTATTTGGAAAAAGGCTCTTTGCAGGTGTCACTAAGGATCTCGAGATGGGGAGATAGTTCTGGATTATCTTGGCAGGCCTGAACGTTGTCACATGTATCCTAACACAGGAGGGAGTCAGGGGGAGATTAGATGGAAGAGGAGACTATGACCTGGGAGGCCGAGATTAGAGTGTTGTGGCCACAAGCCAAGGAATGTCAAGGCCACCAGAAGCTCCTGGAAGAAGAGAGGTATGGATTCTCCCCAGACTCTCACGGAAGCATGACCCTCTGACAGCTCATTTCAGACTTCTGGCCTCCAGAACTGTAAGCGAATAAATTTCTGTTGCTTTAATCCCCCAAGTTTGTGGTACTTTGTTAGAGGAGCCCAAAGAAACGCATGCGGGGAGATACACTCACTTCCAGCTCTTTCTCCTCTGCTGTTTCCAGGAACAGATCTGGCCGGAAGGGCTTCACTCCGTTGGAATTCTCCACTCTGAAAATCTTCTCTGATGGGGTGAGAATAATGTAAATTACATGAAGGACTGCAGTGCGAGGAAATGTTAGCAGCCGCCAGACTCTGAGTGGTTCACAGACCCTGGTTGGGTCCCCAGGGGGAGTGTGGCTGAGCCTAGGCCAGCACTCGATAGACAGATGTTGAGTGAGTGGCTGAGCCACCAGGTGAAGGGGCCCATGCCCACTTACACCCAGGAAGTCACCTTAACTCAAGGCTACTAACCCTTTAAAACTTAACTCAGATACCACTGCCTTAGGTAGGCTTCCTCTGACCGAGACTCTAGCCTGCCCCCTTTCCATCCCTCAGCCACCTCCATCCCCCCGACAGGTAAGAGCTGGCACATAGTAAGTGCTCAGTAAAGCGGGGACTGGATGAATGGAAGGAAACATTTACCCCCCCGAGAGGACATGTAGGAAACTCTAGACGTGCTCTTGGTAAGAACTGCAATGTGTATGTCTTCCCACTGGAGGGGTCTAGCTCAGGTGTTCCACAGACACATGTCTCGGAAGGAATCAGAAGGAAAGCAGGAAATTGTAGGGCAAGATTCTTTAAGTCCCAGTAACACTGCCAGCAGCGGCACCCGGCAGCGGTACACAGTCCCGGGCTTCAGAGCCCTCTAGCAGTCCCATCACTGAATCCCTCCCGCTACCCTGCGGAGTGTGAGGGCAGGTATGCCGGTGGTGGGGGACCGGGGTGTGGTCACAGAAACCTCAGGGCCTCCCTCAGCCTCTCATTCCCCTTGGCTCCCAGAGAAGGCCCCCGAAGGATCAGGGCCTTACCATTCTGGTCCCGACAGCTGAGCGTGTAGAAGGTCTCTCTCCGCAGGATGATCTCCTGCGCGATGACCCCGTAGCTGTAAACGTCTCCTTTCTGGGAGACGCTGGCCTGGCGGAGGTGCTCCGGGGCAGTCCACAGGTCTGTGCGTTCAGCATGGAGATTGCAAGGTTGAGGGGAGTGAGCGGCCCAGGGGTCTCCACCTTGCTTTTGCTTTTAAGTCCCTACACCCCACACTCATGCTGGTGACAGGGAGAACACACACTTGGCCTCTAAGCTGACTATGTAATGCCAGGATTTGGGTGAAGTCATCCAGCAATGTCCTCCCTAAAACTTGGATCGCGGTCCTGAAAACCCTCGAGGTCCACCTCGAACAGCAGGAGCTGTTCGGGAAGTGCTCAGTAAATATCTGTGGGGTGAACGCAGTGGAATGAGAGACTGAGGATTTAACAGCTTATAGAACATATGGTATAAACCTACAAAAGCCTTCATAAATATTTTAAAACTATATATTTATTTTATATAATATAAAACATATTATATATATATATTTACTAAAAGAAAACAAAGACAGCACATTTAAACAAAGAAACCATGACTGTTATGTTCCAGGTGTGACACGCTGGCAGCCCCAGAGCCAGCTATTACCCACAGGTGTGTGTTCTTTGGTTCTTGCGGGATTCTTTAAAAAAAATAACGTGCCTGCTATTCCTAGCGCTTTCCATCTAGTCTCCTGCACACAAGGGAAGCGCTCCTGTGTCCTGTGTGTGGCTCCTGCAGACACTTGGGTTTTCAATCCCTATCACACATCTTATTTAGTAATAACAGGGGCATACAACTAACTTTCCTCCAACTTCCCTTGATGTTGTGTGAATTTATGTGCCTTGTGATTCACGTACAATTGATCCCAATGGTTGGGCTTGTAAGAAAGTGAAGTAAATCTACTTATGCTAAAATTTCAGGTCACCGACCCCAGAGAGGAAGCTATCACTGAGTGAAGTTCAGGAGGATAGGAGTTGACCTGCAGTTCATCCTATGTCTGTGTCGTGGTGAGTCATTTAATGAAAGAGACTTGCTCCACTACATGAGGAACCACGCTCGGCACACAGTAGGTCCTCAACAAGCACTTACTGGACTGAGTCCAATGTCCTAGCATGCTTGACGTGATTGAAGAAATGGGGGCAGAATTGTTATTTTTCATCTATTAAGGGCAAACTAGAGGACTGCAAAGTAGAATCAGAAGTGGAATTCAGTTTTGGATCTGGGGAGCACTTTGAGGCACATCTGAAGGCGGGACTGCTGAGGCTGTTTAGCCCTGAGTTACAGTAAGAACGAGTAATATTCCACCTGACAGGCCCCTTATACTTTACAGATCACTTTTCTGTCTGTTACTTTTTTGACCCTCATCACAATCCTGAAAGGGATAAGAATATATTTGACTGAGAAGAGCTTTTTCTAATCATTATCATTTCCTATTATTATTCTCACGGGTAAACAGATGAAGTCTAGAATTTGGAAAGGGGGCTCCAGCCTTGTCCTCTGTCTTCTTGGACAAATCTCTTCTCCTCTGTGAGCTTCAATTCGGGTTCCATAAAGGAAGGGGTGAGACAGAGGACTTCTCAGGTCTCTTATGCTCTAACCTTCTATGTCTTTTCCCGCAGCTCTGCTTCCACAAGCCAATAACTTTATGATTTCTCCCTGATATCAAGGGACGCATGGAAATCCACAGAGATTTGCTCAACTCAACAAGCATGTGCTGATCAGGGGAGGTTGCCAAAATGAGCCAACTGTTGCCCTTTGTGGCTTGAAGTGTTTCTTTTCTGATCAGTATCACCAGATCCTCAGCACCTTACACAGGCTTATGAGAAAAATTTTTTTTTCTAAATGAGAAACTAGTAAAAATTTCATTCATTACAGACCTTTCCTTGGAGGTAAAATGGAATTGCAGCCAAAATCAGTGATCTTCACCACCATTCTGCTGTCCACCACACAGTTGGTGGATTTCAGACGACCGTGGACTTCTATCTTACTGGAGTGCAGATACGACATCCCCTGTAATTTTTCAGATGACAGGAGAACAAAGAGATAGGACACTTCAGCTGCTTCATTATTTTAAGGAAAGAAATGACATTTCGAAATCATTTTGGCATGCGGATAGAATCACACCATCAGATTTTAAATTTAATTCCATTAATTTTAACTTTAAAAACATTGTTAAATACCTCCATTAAGAAAGAAAGAAATAAGCCTGATTACCTCCACCAAATAAAAAAAATAAAATTAAAATAAATAAAAATAAAAACATTGTTGAAGCCCTAATATTTGCCTAAGCACTGCATCTAGTTTTGAGGTCTAGTTAGGTGACATAGTAAGAGACAACTGTCTAAAGACTCTGGTTAAGTAGTTGTACATAATGTAAAGCAAAGGTTGATCCTACTTTTCTGTGTTTATGCTTACCACTTACTTGGTTGGGACCTCAGGTTTTCTGGTCCTCTGCTACCTCCATGAAAAACTATGAATAATAAAGCCTTGCCTTTCTGAAGGGAGAGGCTAGGCTGGATTATTTCCTAAAATCTAATGGGTTTCATTCTCTTTTGAAACAGGATGTTCATTTTATTTTGCAAGAAGAAGCCCGTTTTTTGGCTGGTGTGCTCCCCCCTGGTGTCAGAGGTGGTACTGCAGAAACTGGTGTTAGCCTGGATCTCAGACGTAAACTGTGGCTAGTAGAGTAATATATCACATTTTTTTCCAACTGATTTTGATCCTCTGTGACCTTCAGGTGATTTAAGACCATATCAAATAGCTTGCTCTCGGGATTGGCTCTTCCTCATTTTTGGAAGCTACCTGCTTATTGGTATCCACTTCCTTTTCATACCATGTCTGGGAAATATACATGTCCAAATTTATTACTGCCTCATGAAAGATGAATGTCTGTCCTTAATACTTTCTCTTATAAAGCTGAGGATTCAGTCAACTTCCCTGAAACTTTATGTGATTTTTTTATTTCCAGCAAATCTACAAAAAATGTGTCCCCCAAGCCCAATGTAGAAAGAATTTCATAATAAAAATAGCAATAGCCAATATACATTGAACATTGGCTTCGTCAGACCTTACACAGAACACATGCATTGTTTCATAAAATCCTCACAACCACCATGTGACATAGGAACTATGTTTATTATCACTTTACAGGTTGGAAAAAACCAATACAAAAACATTAGATCTGTTTTCCTGTATTCAACTTTCATAAATGTCTTTCGTGTTTGTAGGTTTCTCACCTTAGCAATGTCATACAAGACGGAGATCTTAAATTCCCAATCCATGAATGTACCATCAGGATAGGAGATGGTGTCATTTAAAACTTCCTGAACAGGAGGAAAAAGAGAAGGAAGATGAGCTGTCTGAAGGAGGGGCAGTGTGGAGAGGCTATTACAGGCAAATAATGATCCTCTAATCTGGAGGCTCAGGAACAAGTTGGCACCCCATTGTTCTGGTTTTCCGGAATATATATTTCTTTCCTCTGCTGTTTAAGGAACATCAGGGGGTTCACAAGGAAATGAGCAGGAGGTGCCCACAGACCCCAAACCCTGGTTCTTCCACCAGACAGGGGTAAAGGGATGAGCAGGCACCTGCCGGGAGACGGGGCTGGTGAGCTTGATTCACAGGTGGCAGAGCTGTGGGCTCTGTCCCATAAAAATTCCACTAGTGTTTTTTTTTAAAAAGGAACTGCTATTAGGAAATTCCTTCATTAGGCTTATGTTTTCACTCACATGATCTCTTACATCCGTTGGCTTAATAGCTCTAACTGTTCCGACAGAGTTCTTGGATTTTTGCATGAATTATATGACCTAGAATTTTGAACTTAACAGGATGATGGTTCTCTCAAGATACAGGATTTTAACTAAGCTAATAACCATTCTTCACAATAAAACTCTAAACAGGACCTTAACCGGTAACTTAGTAATAGTTTCTCGTTTTAGCAAAAAGCCCTGTTTTAACTCAGGTACTCTAGAAATAATTTCCAACAAACGGTCCAAAATCATTCATCGTTTCAGATAAAACTAGCAGGGCCGTGGATAGCAGGCCAAGTTAAGGGAGGGGAGTTACGAGCAGACAGACTCTAAAGCAACGCTCACTCTTGGCACTTGACATATTTTATGTTTTTGTTTGTTTATTAGCTTTTCTCCCTGTGAAAATGTAAACTCTGGGATAATCTTCATTTACAGGTGTATCTGCAACATCTAGTACAGTGTATGCTACAGGACCGACGGTCAGTAAACATTAATTGCATGAATGAATCAATTGTCCCTGAACAAGCCAAAGTGGTTGTGTATTTATAAAATGGGAAGCATATTGTCTTTACACTGTCTAGGGAGAGACTTACTCATTTGTTTCCCCACAAAAGTCGGTTCTGATGGGATTTGCTATGGGTTGAAGCCCCAAAGGATTCCATCAGGGAGGGGAATGTAGTTTGCAGTGACACAGACTTTGCTTTGAGGTTCATTAGACAACGGAGTGAATAAGCTTCCTGTGGAAGCTTCTGTTGTCTGCTCCCAGCACGAGTAGGCAATGCCAGGAGGCGCCCAGACCACTCTGGTCACTAAAGTTTCCAGCCATAGGGTAGAGAGCCAAAAATACTATGCACATGGTATCTGACTGTTGTCTTGGCATTTTAGAGATTAAAAGACCATGCGAAACCCTTTGACCAGGCTCTGTTAATTAGTATCCTAACATTTCTGTCACACTGAAATCAAATGAGTCAGATAGGGTCTAGCTCTCCTTAAGGAGAACATGTCTAATTTTGAAAGACCTGAAATTGTTTCTGTTAGGAATGTGTGTTTATTTTATTGTATCAGCAGCAATTAAAATGATCATTTTCAGCACCAGTGAAAATGATCATATGGTCGTTCTCCAAAGACCTTTTGATATGATGCATTAATATTTTTTTCCATTCATAGAATTAACTATATTCGATTGTATTATGCTTTTCATATACAACTGACTTAGTTACCAGTATTTCATTTACAATTTTTCTGTTTATATTCATAAATGTGATTAGCCTTTAATCACATTTTAGTATCAACTTTATGCTAGCCCTCTAGAACGTTAAATGAATTTAGATGTTCATGCTTTTGTTTAACTTTAGAACAGTGTTGATACAGACAATGAGAATTATTCATTAAAGTTTAGAAAAACTAAGCTGAATCTGGTATTCTTTGTAATGGAAGTGATAATTTCTTCTATTATTATTGGCACACGTAAGTTTTTGTTTTTCGAGACAGGTTTTCATGATTACATTGTTTCTGAAATTTTTCCTTTTTTCAGATTTTATAATTTGCTAGTCATATTCTTTTATAATTGAAAGCATCTTTTTCATGGCTTTATTTTTTACTTTCACTTTTGTGTATTTTTATGTTTGTTTTAAAGATTTAATCAGAAGTACGAGAGGCTTGTGTGTTTTGTAGGTTTTTTAAAAATAAACAATTCATGAGCGTACTTTAAAAAGTTACTAGTTTTATAATAGAATTTTGAAGGTTTCCTTTCTTTGGGCCATAGTTATTCTTCTAAATTTTGCTAAATACTTAGATTGTTTTTTAAGAGAGAATAGCATTTAGGGCTATGATTTTTTTTTGTTTGAGAAGAGACTTGAGTTTATGCCATGCATACATTTTGAAAGCTATTCTTGGTTTGTTTTTTTTTTTTAAATAATTGAAGCTTATTAGGCAAAAACTTTAAGTTATTAGTTTAACATTTTTTATTTATAATTTTTCTTGACTTATGAATGTTTGGACCTCTTAAAAGCTGCTGCTGACCCCAGTCAGTATTCTGGCTTCGTGATGGGGAAGGGCATTAAGGTTTTTAAGAGATACTAGGTCTGAAAGCAGCCCAAGGTAGGCTGACCACACGTCCTGGTCTGCTTGGGGCCAGCTGCAGTTTATGTCTGCTGTTACAATATAATCATCACAGCACCCCTTGCGTTCCCAAAGGATCCTGGGAACGAAATTATCTGTCACCCACCCAAAGGCATTTAAAAGGCTGGAAGCCCTCCTAACGTGCCCAGAAAGCACTCAGGTGAGGTGCAACTATTTCGATGCTCTTTGAAGCAATTGTCTTGGTTTCCTTCCTTCTTCTCCCCTTTTCCTCGACACTGGACTTTGTTTCTGATGTGAATGCTTCTGTGTATGCCTGCGCTTCTGAACTAACCAGTGACTTGATACTCTGAGCTTGATGCTTGGTTCTTCCCAAGAACTTGACTCCATCCTGTCTTACTTTCTTTTTCTGCTTTGGACTTGTTCAGCCAGAACACCTTGGCCCCATCTGGCCACCCCTGAGCCACCCTCAACCCCTCCCAGGGGAGAGCAGGGTAGGATTTAGACAGCTAGCAGAACTAGGACTTAGGAACAAGTGCTATCATAATGACCATCTAGTTTTCTTTTAATACAAAAGCAAGTGTGCAAGTAAAATAAAATGAATTTAGAGGCAATCACTTTTCCACATGTGTTTTTTTTTCCAAGTCTACACTCCTGAATATTTTTTAGCTAGTTTTCTTACAAAGATATAATAGGGATGATTCACGAAATCTGAGTGACTAGTTTGATAAGCATTTGAACCCATACATTTTTCCTGAGAACTCTCTGCTAACACTCTGATTATTATTCCTGCACTGAATGAGCATTTAAAATTTCTGCTAAATATTTTTTCCATATGGTTGGCCAGTTAGGAAGCTGTAAATGATCACGGTTCCTTACCCGCAGGGATCCTCTCTCGCAGTATTCAGTCACCCCGAAGATCATGGACTCAAGCTTCACTGTGCCGTAGAACTTGGTTAGGTTGTAATAGTCAATCTGAAGCAGCTAAGATATAACATGTTTGTTTACAAAGCCAGTCAGCCAGGAAGGGGCGCCTGAATAAAAACTAATCTGCTAATAAAACACATCATGGTTCAGGTCGTTGGGAAGACGTATTACTCCTGACACACTGGGGCATCAGTGCAGTTTCTCAGGTCTTTGGGAAGATGTGTTATTCTTGATATGCTGGGGCATCAGTGCAGTTTCTGTTGCTCTTTGCATTACATCTGACCAACAGCCTTTCTTTTGTCAGCACAGGGACGTGAATACAAACCTTTGACTACTCTCCAGTAATACCAGGACCACTCTCTAGGACACGCTAGTAGATTGGCAGCCTGTATTACCCCGTCAAACATCACTCTTCAACATCTTTGGGTGGAATTTTCAACAAGCAAAAGTATAGTCACCCGTTTCTTGTTCTGTGGGCTTCTCTGCCAGCATCCCCAATAATACCTTGCTCCACCAGGGACCTCAACACTTGAGGAAAATGGAGTGGAGCTAGTTCTGACTCAAGGGTTTAAGTACAGGCCACGCACCTTGTTCAATTCTATCTTCTGTTTCTCAGTGAAATTGCCATCATTGTGCTTGAGATCCTTCAGAATCACTCGCTGCAACGGTAATGGGATTAAGGAGATAATGTGGCACGCCCATCATATCCTCCTGCTACACTGCAAAGCTCCTGAGAGCAGTAACACTGTTTTATTGATGTTTCTGTCCGTGGTGCCAGGTGCACCACGGGATACGGTTGCTCGGATTTACATGTTTCTTTAGAAATGGCTAAATGAAAAGGAAGGAAGGATGGAAGGAAGGAAGAAGGATAGAAGCAAGGAAGGAAGGAGGGAAGGATGGAAGCAAGGGAAAAGAGGAAAGAAGGGAGGGAGGGAGGAAAGGAAGGAGGGAGGGAGAGAAGAAAAGAAGATGCAAACCCCACATGGGATTGTCATATTCCCACTGCAATGAGCCAAAATGTAATATAGGTTGTCTGGACTGCTCTGAATCTCTTTTATTTTTTCCTTTTCCTACCTACATTCTCCCCTCTCTTAAAAATCCTATTGTTCCTTCAATTTACCCAGGACTGTGAGTTTTGTAACCATTGAGGCAGAGGCCCTCCCAACCCTGTGAAAGGATCCAAGAACAGCCCCTTGGACCGGCCCAGGCACCCTGGCCATTACACTGCCGACGTCAGGAGCCAGGGTGGCCGAGAGTCAGCAGGCCCCGCCATCCCCTGGTGGAGAGATCAGAGCAGCAGAGGGGATCAGAGTCACCTTTTTGTCATATTTGCACTGTTGTAGCCTCTGGATTGTATCTCGCCTCTTGTCATCATCGATCTGGCACAAGAAAAAGCTAGTTATTTCAGAAGCTCCACATCTCGTTCCCCAGCTGCCAGTCAAAGGCTGAGAGGCTCTGCTGGCTGGGCTCACAGCCCGCTGGGCAGCCTCAGAAAAACTGTTGTAATCAACTTGTGTTTCCCGCCCGCTGCTCACCTGCCCTCTTCTTTCCAGCATCCACCACCCTCATGCTTGATTCTGAGTTTTCCTCCCTTTCCCTCCCTCCCTCCTGTGGCCTGTTCCAGCCAGGAATGTCCTTTGCTTCCTTCTCTCCCGGCCCTCCTTCTACTGGGAACCATTGCCTGTAGCTGCAGACAGACGCTCTTAAGGGAGCAACATGTGCATCTCACACCTAAAGGCCCAAGTTAGCAATGCGAGTGAGGACACCGTGCCAGCCCCATCAGCCCTGGGTTCAGCCTGGGGTTGCCAGATCATCTGATTTGTCAAAAGAAGCTGGTAACATGGATTTTTCTATGCCATTCTGAGATTTTTGTATTTGGCAATAAATTTTAAAAGAAGTTACATATTGAAACACACACACACACACACACCCCTCTGCAGAATAGATACTGTTCTTGGTCTGCCAGACTTCTCATCTAAAGGCAGAGAAGAGATTGAGAACTATGGCATCTTTCCATTCGATTCTCATAAAAACCTGTGGCGTGTCGTAATATCTGCCGAAACTTACCTCATAGGGACATTTTGAAATGTGAGTGAAATAAATTATGTTCAATTCCAAGCATGACGCCTGGCACAACGCAGGTTAATAAGTGTCACTTGTCGCCCCTTCTCCTGTTTCTCATCTTACCCATGAGGTTATAAAAGGGTTGCATGACGCCACAGGTCCCCTGAGGATGGACTGAACCTGAGCGTGGCTTCTTTTCACTCTTACGCATCAATTGTGTCATTTAAGCCACGTGAACCTTAGTCTCTTATCTCAGCAACCCTAACTCACAGGGATACTTGGGGCTTGAATGAGACAGAGTTTGTGACATTTTCTTACAAGCGAAGGTGTTTTATCCGCTAATGCGTGCTCAGCGCTTTTATTATATTTTTCTGTCTGATGCTTCTCCCTCTGGCTGCTTTGGTTTCCCGACCCCTTCTGTCCCAGCACAGGCTGCACTCTGGCATCCGGCCCCTTGGTCTGTTTTCCTCACCTCTGCCTTCAGTGAGTACCCAGGGCTTGGACCAGGGCCAGGCTGGACGTGTGGCGTTTCCCCTCTTACTGACCTTGGCCGATCTCCCTGCCCTGCCCGACTCTCAGCACCGGGGGACCTCTCCTAACGGCCGATTCCCGGGCGCCTGCCCCCAGCCTGTCTGTATCTCAGAGTAATGACGACTCCCCATGCTCTGAATCACTTCCAGCCTCCCTCCTTTACTTTACTGTCCCAAAGAGCCAGGCGGGTGGCTCATCTGATGAATTAACCCATAAAAAGTCCACCACGTCTGACAAGATAGTTGGGTTATGCTTCCAGAATACTTACATTTTAAGGAAACACGCAGAGACACAATGCTGGAGGCTTAACCCCAAAGAACAAGTGAAATATGGGGTTTTGAGGCCGGTGGGGGGGCTTGTGAGGAGTGGAGCCGGGCTGGACTTGGGCAGGGGTGAACCACGAGGGAGCCCCTCCTGGTGCCCCACCAGAGCAGGGGCGGGGGGGTCACTCACTCCTCCTAAGGCCTCCCCTCCCCTCCTCAGGTAAGTCTGCTGGTAAGTCATTCAGGTCAATTAATTCTCCCTTTGAAAACCCAGTAATCTTACGGTCATTGACATCTCACTGTGAATTACCACAAGATCTGATTTCTTCCTGACACTTGCCTGAGACAGACTGGCCTTTGTGAACAGAATCTGTGTGTGTGTGAGGTTCAGCATGTAACGGGAGGGTCATCTTCCAGCGTGGGGCATTTCTGGAGGAAAGAGAGACCTAGTCCTTGTACAGCCTGAGGGGATCCTTGTCTTTGCAGCGCAGCATGCAGGACTTGAGGGGGGGGAGGTACCAAGACCTGGGAGCGAGGCTCCAAACACAAACCTGACCCTTGAAGCAATTTTACTTTTGCTGAGTTTAGGCGGAGGGCATCTCAAGTCACACCGTCCCGTTGGCTTGTCCCTACTCTGAGGAACCCCACTTACTCTTTGCACGTGATGGTTCTGGGACTCCACCTCCTCTTAGTATGCCTGGGTCTAAAAACGCTGCTAAGACTACAGTGTGCAGTGTCAGGATCATAGGCTGCATGGTTACACAGACTGGGTTCAAAGTGTAGCTATGTTCCTAAAATTCTAGCCCTGTTGTCTCACAGGGGTCGGGGGAAATGCAACGGGTCAACACACCCTGGCACATAAGCCGTGCTCAGTAAGGGTTAGCCATGACTGCAGTAATCTTACTCACTAGCTGCATGTGATCCTGCCCTGCATCTCAGCCCTCTGTCCCTCAGTGTCCTCAGCAGCAAATTTACACCGATAAAGTTCAACTCCTGAGGTCCCCGTGCTGAGCAGGTAGGAAGACACAGGTCCAGCACTGACCGTGGAGGCAGAGGAGTTACCACTGGCTGCTGCTGGGATTTCCTGGCTGAGGGAGAAGGTGGGCAAATATCATCAAAGACCTCTTTCTTCAGCAGTGAGCAGGTGAATCACACATGCGAGTGTGAGCAGCATAGCTCCCCAAGGTTTAGGGGAACTCGGATGCTCTGCCCATTCCCAGATCCCTTCCGTGACAGGCTCTCACTACATGCTTTTCTCTTCCGGGTCAGCTGCAAAGCATGAGTAACACACCGTATCTCAGCCTCCACCAAAGTGTTCATTGCATTCAGTAGCTGACATTTAGGGCAAAGAAGAATCAAGGCAAAGACAGGAAGCTGAGAATTACAAAACATCCAAGTCCTGGATTCTGAAACAAATGTCTCCTGCTTGGGACATGTCCTATCATGCTACCAAAGTCTTGCCGAACGCCTGGCAAGCTGCACCAGCCACAGCAGCGTTCTTCAGCAGGTCAGGGACGCTCACCTTTAGGCTAATATGGTTGGTCTCGTTGGACTCCAGAGGAAAGATCTTTTCAGGAGGAATGTGGGACCACTTTTTCTGACGAAGTGCGTATTTCTTTTTATATTTTCTGTGAAAGGAATAGAACCAGATAATAGGCTTGTGTTAGTATTCATGCCATTCGGCTTCTAAACATTAGGAGAAGTTTGGAGCCCTGATGTCCTTAGGTAGGTAAGTGGTGAGTAGGGCTGGCCCAACTGTGTAACTCCATGTTCTCCAAACTGGTGAGTGCTGCCATCTGTGGACCTGTAAAGATTTCTAATGGTCTTTTATATCCTTTTTTTTTTTCCTTTTCATTTCAGTTTCTCACATGCTTCACTAAGGCAGAACTTTACTATAATAAAAAATTTAGGGGGGGAGGGTACAGCACAGTGATAGAGCACATGCTTTGCATGCAGGAGGTCATGGGTTCAATCCCCAGAGCTTCCATCAAATAAATAAATAATAAAAATAAATTAATTAACTTAATTACCTCCCCCTCCAAAAACAAACAAAAAATTGAACTAATGACATGGAAAGAGTGAGGAAAAAACAGAGATAAAAACTTAAACTGATAAGCTGAAAGGCAAACGCTCATTTTTAAACCACCAGAGAATACCCCAGGTTCCTAAATAAGCTAGTTTCGCTGACGCATCTGTGCCTTTAATAAATGTAAAGAAAATAGAAAAGCCCAGGGAAAATGTAACATTTGTAACCCAACATTCACAATGTCAAGAATCTGTGATTGATTCCCCCAGATAGTATAGACTGAGCAGAATTCTGGGGTTGTGGGAAATGCACCCTCACAGATTTACAGATATTACCAAATTATTTCCCAAAGTGTTTGCGCCAATTTACACGCTCATTGTAAAAATTTGTTTCCTCCATATTCTCAACATTTGGTATTATTCAACTGTTTTTTAACTTTATGATGTGAAATGGCGTTTAACTGTTGCTTTGCTTTTCATTTTCTTGATTATTAGAGAAATTGAGTAGCTTTTCAAAAATTTTCTGTTTTATAGAATATACAGTTGACTATTCATAATCCTGCCCATTTTTTCTAATGCTTTGTCTTTTCCTTATTAACTTACATGAGCTCCTTATATATTCTGCAAAACAAATTTTTTAGCCTTTTATATGTTTCAAATTCCTTTTTCTACTTTATTGCTTTATTTAGATGCACGTACAAAGTTTTGATTTTATTCTGGCCACGTTTATATTTTTTCTTCTATGACTTTCTTTATCTTGACTGAGAAGTATTTTCCTACTTGAGATCATCAAGTCATTTCCTACTAATTTTTTCTAAGTTTTAAAGTTGGCTTTTACACATTTAGGTCTCTAATCCATTTATAATCCATTTGGAATGAACTTTGTGTATTGCTTCAGGTAGGGTTTTAAGTTCATTTTTTTAATTTGCAAAGCCAACTGTCCCAACATCATTTCCCAGCTGACTCATAACATCACTCTGTGCCATTCCCAGTTCTCATGCTTGCTCGTGTCAGATTCTAGAATCTGTACTCTTTTCCACTGGCCTACTTGTCTGCCCCTGAGTTTGCCTTTGCTTGTCTTCACTTGACAAACTTCTCTGCACCTTCTCAAGGTCATTTATGATACCTTTCATGCTGTCCTGGAAACAGAAATGATTATTCTCTTCCTACGCTTCCATCTAACTCTGAGTATTCCTCATTCAGATTCACAGAAAATAGCATATTATTTACCAATGATTTTGATCCTAAGACCTGGTGGTAAGTGAGGTAACTGTTAAGGGCCTTGAAGTCACCTGGACTCTCATCTCTGTACCCCAGGAGACCTTTGGGTCCCAGTGGAGCCAACTGTCATTCACGCTGAGTTAGAGGATGCTATAAATCATTCACTACCTTTCTTGCATAGCTGTTGGACTGGAAAACTACAAGAATAGTATCTATTTTCCACACTGCTGCTCCAGCCATTAAGAGACCTTATCTCTGCCTCCTATGCTTAAAGAAAATGAAAAATGCCCGTTTCCACCTGTTACTGCTTCTTCCCTTGTGATTTACCCCTGTCTTAAGCTGACACCCATTTGGACTTGGTGTTTGAGGGACAACAGCCACATTTGTGGCCCTGCTAGTGGCTGGCTTTACTCTCCCCCAAATTTTGGTTTTCACCTCCCTTCAATTAAATGGTCACTGCACACTATAGATCATCTCCTATTTCTGGGTAACTCAGAGTCAGTGGAGTCAAGTTCTGCCTTCAGTCTGCAGAGAACAGTCGACCTCCTTTCCTGGAGAAACCTTTAACTGGTCTGCAACAGACTATAGACTCTCATTATGAGAAAGTATAATGACACACAGACCAAAGCGTCTGATACATAGAGAAAAATTGTTGTCTGGTTTAGTTAGGAAGCGGGGGCGTGATCCTGTAATATTACAGGATAGAAAGTTTTGTGTTTAACATACACAGATTAGGAAGTAGTTTGGTTTATATATTCAACTCATTTACATATTCAACAAATATTCCTGAGCATACACCGTGTCCCTGGCACTGCCCTAGGCTCTTCGTATGTCCAAGCTGAGCAGAACAGTCATGGAACTGATGGTCCTATGTTTGGCCCAGCACACTACCTGGTGACGCGATTCCAGACAAGCCACTTGGCTTTCTGGATCCCTCTTCACCCATGCTAAAATAGGAGGTTTGAAATAGATGATTTCGAAAGCCCCTTCTAGCCTGAACATTACATGATATAAAAACTTTTAAGACTTCCCGGAAAATAATAAAACAGCAGAAATAGCTATTTCCACCTCTAGAATGCTTATCGTATGGTCACCATACACTCCTTATTTCAGCTTCTCACAACAGTTCAAATGAGGGTACTGAAGCTAAGTGACCTGTTTAAGTGGCTAACAATACGGTGAAGACCACAAAGCTGGTAAATCACAGAACTGGGACTTGAGTTCAGCTGTCCAATGGCAAGCTCTACCCGTTCCACGCAGTAACATTCTGCCCCTGATGTGGTCTTTGACGCAGAATGTCTTCATGGCTCAGCTCTGTCTAGAGACCTCTAGTGAAGGTACATTACCATCAGGAGACCCCAGACTTCTCCCTCTCTCCCTCCCCTGCTCGGAGTGATGAGCACAGCAGGCTGGGGGTGGTAGGTACCTCAGCACCAGGAGAGCAATGAGCAGGAGGAGGACCACAGTTCCCGTGAGAGTGATGACAGCAATCATCAGGATCTGGGGGCCTGGGCGGAAAAGACAGTGACAATGGCACTAGTAAGGGATCTCTGAAGACAGAACACACACGTCAAAAGATTCCAGCTGTATAATGTAATCTGAGGAAGGGGAGAAGAGAGACCTTTTAAAGTATTTGTCTTTTATTAATCTCTTCATTGGTAACACACCTTGCATCCTTTTTATTCTCGTCAGGGCAGAAATAAATCCCTTGGAGGTGGAGCCGCATCGTGGGCATATTTGACTTTGGTGAATTCCGTTTATGACAATAATCACAAACCACCACCACCACCACCATCACCACCGCCGCCACCACTCCCACACCCGCAACCCCACACGAAAAATAACAGTGACTAGGAAGGAGCAATACAATCTCGCCAGTGCAACGATCCTACTCTGGAGTCTACAACATAAGAGGAAGTTGAGAGAGTGGGGAAGGGATTTTAGGTAAGAAAGATGAAAAATGAGTCTGGAGGTGGAGGGAAGTTGAGGACATTTTGTGTGTATTAACAGTCATTTGGACTTTATTCTGCAGGTAAAATGGAGCTGCCAATCACAGCGTTAGCAGCAGTTGGGCAGCATGACTGGATTCTGCTCTCGTTCTGGTGGCAGTGTGGTTGGCCTGGAGGCAGGCGGGAGGCAGGACTGGAGCAGGGAGACGGCTGGATATTATTGTAATCCAGGAGGCAGATAATGAAGGCTTTGGATGAGGAACAGGAACCAAATCTGTGTTGCTCACTGCTTCCCGGGTGTTTAGAACACTGCCTGGCACTAAGTAAATGTTTATCAGATGGATGATAAGATAGTGACGGTATAGCCTCCGGATGAAATGTTCAGTTACTTAGTTGGCAGCTGTGTACACGGATGAAAGGCCCACATGAACATCTTAGTTGTATACTGTTTGAAAGATTGAGTTACTTTATTTGCAAAGTTTAAAACTAAATGTAATGACAGTGAAATAAATGAAAGCTCTGGCTAACTGCATTTTCCGATTAGCTGAGGCTGAAGTGAAGTTGCCCAGGATGAGGCAATAATGTCCCTGTCATATGTAATATCAATATTTAATGCGACCCTTTTAGGTAAATAATTAGAACTCTCTGAAAAATCACTTTTTGAGAAGTTCAGTTACTTTACAAAGTACAGACCTTCTGTTCAGTTACCAAAATATCTAAAAACTCTTAAAGAAATATATTAAAAATACAAACCTAACGTTGTCATTGAGGGGCACAATTAAGGAAAAAGAAAATAATTTTAACTCAAAAAGTTACAAAATAAATAAAAAGTTGCAGGAGCCTGGGAGGAAAGAGATACATTTCAGAAGTCAGATTTGGTTTAAATCTAGGAAGCCTAAAGACAGTTCCAGAGATAATTTAAAAAGTTTGCTAAAGAAAATAAATCAACGTTAAAAAGCAATGATGACAGTATATCTGAATCTGGCCCTGTCCAGTGATGGTCAGTGTTACACAGTCACATTGCAAGTTGAGGGGTGAAGGCCTGGCCATGTTAGGGCTTTCCATGACATGATGGGGTCTCAACTTAAGTAGGTGGGGTAACCATCATTATGACCCAAGTATGTGTCCCCTGAGGAAATGGAGGAGACTTAAGAGGCCACGCTCATTGACCAACCCCCCAGCCTGATGACATCAAGTATTCCTTGATGAAACAGATATTCCTCGAGTTTACTGCAGTAACATGTAAATGGAGTGGGGATGTATGTCTCTGTGTTCATTCTGCCAATTGCCAAACCTAGTTCTCTATAGGATAATTTATGTCAAAGGGTAGGTAGGACACACATTAAAGATAGGGATAGCTAAATTAGGAATATTTTTAGTGTTTAATCAGAGCTGTAATATCATTCATAGGGCAGGGAAGGAAAGTCCACATTTGCAAACCTGGCAGATCTAATTCAGAAATTATGCAAAGGAAAAAAAAAAACCCCAAATAACATAAGCTAATTGCATAAACCATAGAATTTACTCTCCTTACCAAAAACACAATTTCAGGGAAAGAAAATTCATAAAGGATATCTTACCTCGGCCTGGAATATCATTAGGAAGTTTATGGTTCTTCCAGATGAACGTGGGGCTCATGTCCACTGGGTTAGTCTTGTTTATGCGGGTGTCATAGGTCAAAAGAACATTGTACTGTGTCAGGGCAGGAAAAAGAAGAAGGATGAATAGACAAAGACATTCTAGAACGATTTCTGATGAGATGGACCATCCTGCCCAATGCCCTTTGAATTTCATAGTAATGCTTCTCAGTGAAACATGCTGGTAAATGTTAGCTTGCCGGGAGCTAGTTAGGATCCACTTGTTGGTTCTCAGCACGAACATGGATTTAAGCTCCAGGTGAGGTGATTACTTTTGATTTGATTACTCCTTTATTACTATGCACTCTTCCTGCCCAGCAGAGATTCTCTGGGCCTTCGCAGCACTAGTTCAAATCTTTCATTTTACAAATGTTATAACAGAATCCAAGAGAAATTAAATGCTCCAAGTCACATGACAAGTGAAGCACAGTGTTTTTCACAATATTAAGTTGTTATTGAAAAGAATGTCTTGAGAAAATGCACCACAGTTAAAATCCATTATCCATATTTATACATGTCAAGGGGCTCCTAAAGAATTCTACATTTCTTAAGTTCGGTCAATTATAATTTTCGATTCTCTTCTATCCCTATGCTGTAATGTGCTTTCTTATACACGAAACTAATTAGGATTCTAAGATAAAAAGGTTCCTTTTTCAAGTCACCTGTCAGCGGAAATATTAATATATCCTTAAATTATTGAGTCAGCTTTGTAAGAGGCATCTGGAAAGTGACCATACTTCTAAATTCATCGCTATTCCCTCAAAACATTCTGGACCAAAGTTGTACATTCTCTAAACTATACTTGAAAGCAGAATCTATGCTTGCAAATACTGAGGATAGGAAATATCCTGTATGTTAGGGAATGGTACATTAAATCTCCATTGAGACCTACTCTGGTTATGGAATAACTTATCTGTAGCCCTATGTTTTGAGAATTAATCCCCGTTTTCTCAATATATACATATTATCCAACACAACTGATGGCATTAGATTATTGACAAGCCCAACTAGAGACTTGCCTTCAGAGATAGTAAGTGCGCAGAATAACATTTTTCATTTTGAAGAGCAGCCAGGAGGCTGACATAGGATCTCACAGCATGTATCTGTCTCCAAAGAAGACAAAGGCATCATCCCAGGTGGAAATAACTTAGAGGGGACTGTGGTTATCTCAGTAGTTACTTCTAGTAGCTGAAGTATTGAGTGGATCTTATTTTAAGGGATTGCTATGGAATGTATGCCAAATATAGCATTACACTAAAGGTTAGCAGAACTAAAACAATGTAACTAAAAGCTATGGATTACTTTTCTGAAATGCCCTCTGGATTTTGAGTTTAACTTCCTCAATCTGGGCATCTTTTCTCCAGCTTTCCACGTTTTCCATTATAGATGCCTTTCACAAAGCTGGGTCAATATATCCGCTCAGTATATGAGTTAAGGACGTCATAGTGCTCCTACCGGAAAATTACATGAAAAAGTGAGTAACTTTTTCTCCTACGTTCCTAGTTATTTCAGGGCCCAACCTCTTCAAGGAAAAAAGTGTTCTACTGATCATGTGGTTGGTTAGAATCATTGGCTTTTAGTTTGTGATGGGCACAACTTTGGGTGACATAAAGACAGGTGTTTTTATTTCTAAGTTAAATGCTAATCAGCCATCAACTATGTGCCAGATAAGGAGCTAAGCACAGGAGACATGGAGAAACTGGATCCACTCCCTTTCTTTAAGGAACCGTAGTACTATACTATGTAGGTGAGGAGAAAAGATATATATATATATGTATATATAATGTGAATATAAAACATAACATTAGAGGGATGGTGATACATGCCAGAGGGATTAGCCAATTAATGGTTTTCATGAAACTTCAGATGAAGAGAACAGGGAACGTTTCACTGAAATTTTTAGTTGTGAAAATGAATAAACAATTCTTAGGGAAAGAACTGTCACCTTCTCATTGATAGCCCATCAATAGTCTGGTCTTGATATCAATGTATTCTGGGTGGGTATTTTTTATTTAGTAAATAGAGCAGATATTCTGTATAAGAAATTCTATGGGTCAAAATGCTTAAGGAATATGGTCCCAAGTGGGGCAAAACTGTGAATCTAAAATAAACTAACCTCTAGATTCTAAACATAACTTCTCTAATCCTTTCTCTATTACTTGCCTTCCAGGAGGACCCTCCTCGCCCAGTCCCTCAACCCAGGTTCCTGATAAGAAGTCAGACATACTTTGTTGGTGTCCACAGAGGTGTACAGAAGAAACATAGTATTGTCAATGTCCCCACAGTCATCCAAAGTCACAGGACCCATATGCCCTAGGGCAAAATCAGAAAGAGTTAGAGGCCATTGTTGACTTCTTGACCGACAGACCAGCTGTATCCCAATAGAGGCTATAAAATAGGTTCAAACTGCTCCTGTTTATTGAAAAGTCATTGACCTTAACGATGTGATCAGAGGGCATCTGGATTAGTTCTTAGCGCCGAGATCTCTGAAGGATATTTTTATGAGAGATGCTGTTTAGTTAGAAGGAAAACGCTTTTTCATTGCATTCAGGATTCTGACAGTAAAGGTAATCAGTCAATAGATGTCTCCTGATGATTGATGACAAGTTTTTGCTTAGAGTATTTACTAAACTTGTGACACAGTGTGTAAGTCACTGCACAATCTAACTTAGATATTAAATAAGACCAAAATCCCTTCACTAGCCCTTAGCAGCTGAACACATGGAGAAAATTATTTAAGTTCTCTGAGTCTCAGTTTTCTCATCTATGAAATTATACTAGTATAAAATGAGCCTATGAAATGGCTGTTTAGGTAAAAAAAAGAGAGAAAGATCAAATATTAGCAATTTCTCATGGTTCATATAGTAGCTAATATTTATTTTGTGTTTACTATACCAGGGTCTGTGCTAAGTGCTTTATATGCATTTATTATTTTATTCTTCCCCAATTACTATCACATACAAGCTATTATTCTCTCCATTTTATGGATGAAAAATCTCAGGTCAGAGATATTAAGTAACTTGCTCCAGGTTACAGGTACAGGTGGCAGGTACAGTTGGGTGACCGCTGCATACGACCACAGAGGCGCAGACAAAGAGGTGGCAGCCATCATTGCTGCACCTCACCCCACTGCTGAAACCTTTCCCCTCTAGTGATATGACTTTCAGGGGATATAAAGGGTTGGTGCTCCTTCTACCCGCCTTCACTGTTCTCTTTTTTTTCTCTTTGAGAGCCAGACATTGAAGACTAGAATACTGAAGCAACTACGTATAGGGGGGAAATTAGAAAGTGATTCCACATGCCCAGGGGAAGGCAGAGGCTCAGAGAAGACCTGGGAAGACCTTAAGTTTACACCTCATCTGATCCTCAGCAGAGACAGCCTACAAGAGTAAAAACAAACCAAAAACCAGCAAACCCTGGGGAATGGGGAGTGATTTCTGGGATGACCATATTATTAGATTCAAATGTCCAGTTTTCAACAAAAAAAATTATAAGCAATACAAAGAAACAGGAAAGTATGGGCCATTTAAAAGAAAAAAACAGGAAACTATCCCTGAAAAGCAACTGATGGTGAATCTACTAGTCAAAGGCTTTAAAACAACTGTCTTAGAGATGCTCAGAGAACTAAAGGAAGACATGGGTGAAATCAAGAAAATGATGTATGAACAAAATGTATATGTTAATAAAAGATAGAAAACCTAAAAAAGAAACCAGAACACTGGAATTTGACACAACACTGTAAAATGATTATGAATCAATAAAAAATGTAAAAAAAAAAAGAAAAAAAAAAGAAACCAGAAAGAAATTCTGGAACTGAAAAGTATAGAAACTGAAATCAAAAATTCACCAGAGGGATCAAAGATTTGAGCTCACAGAAGAATTAGTAACTTGAAATATAGAACAATAGAAATGATCAAATCTGAGGAAGTGATTCCACTTCTGGGTGTATACTTAAATAAACTGAAAGCAGGGTCTTGAAGAGATATTTATACACTCATGTTCACAGAAGCATTATTCACTGCAGTAAAAACGTGGAAGCAACTCAGGTGTCTATAGACAGATGAATGCACAAGCAAAATGTTGTACATACATATGATGGAATATTATTCAGCCTTAAAACAGGAAGGATATTGTGACATGTCCCACAGCATGGATGAAACTTGAGGACACTATGCTAAGTGAAATAAGGCAGTCACAAAAAGACAAATATCGTATGATTCCACTTATCTGAGGCACATGTAAGTCATAACCACATGACTATGATTTACACATAGTCAAAAACATAGAGACAAAAAATAGAACAGTGGTTTCCAGGAGCTGGAGGGAGGGGAGAAGGGGGAGTTATTGTTTAGCAGGAGTGGAATTTTAGTTTTGCAAGATGAAAAGAGCCCTGGAGATGGATGTGGTAAAGGTCGCATGATATGAATATACTTAATGACATTTAACTATACACTGAAAAATGGTAAGACGGTAAACTTTATGTTATGTGTATTTTACCACAATTAAAAACAATCAGGAAAAAACATACATAAAGTCACTGGCAGAACTTGGGACACAGGGGATGAATAAAGAATGGTTGTCTCTCCCCAGCCCTGTTTCTTCAGGGGAGCAGAAGTGATCCCTTCCTGTCACTGTCATATACCACAGACACTGGTACAGCCCTCAGGCTTTAGTGCTGGGTGTCTGCTGCCCTATGAAGCCAAGAGAAGACGACTCACTCTGCAGTCGGATAAAGGTTTTCCAGAGCAAAGATTTCAGGCAAGTTAGAGAAGTCAACTATCATTTGTCTTTTAATGTCTAATGCACATTAAATCGAAAAGGAAATTTCTTCATAGTAACTGGATGAGATCTGGGAAATGGAAGATAGAAGTTTCCGCTGGGGTTCACGTGTGCAAAGGGAACGTTGACCCGTGTAGTTCTGAGGGACGTGCGCTGGGAACTTTTGGACGGCATTGCCAAGAGAGGTTTGGTAGTCAGAGGGGTAACGTAGGGCCCTTGATCCCTGAAGGACAGAGAAGGAGATTCGGAAGGACCAAAATCAAACTGCAAATCTCTCTCCTCTTGCTAGTCTCCAAGCAGAGTCAGAACACTGCCCAAAATGCCCTAAGATGATCTTATTCTTAAGTACAGGATCTGAACTACTGCTCTTTCCTTCATATCTAAAGATTCTGAAATTCTGAAGCATAAACTGGGGTCCAGTTATCGATTATAGCTTCCCCAAGGTTTATGCCCACAATGAAGTTAAAGGCATCTAGCTGTTGATCCACCTATTGCCAACCAAACCCCTCTCTTTGCTTCCCAAAGCCATCCACAGCACCCGTTTTTCATCAGATTTCTGTAGAAACTGTTAAACATCATTGTTGGCTCCTATGAGACTGGTACCTTCAAAAGTTAGGTTCCTGAAAGCATGAGCGAATTTAGTGGTGGTAACGTCTTCTCCGTTTTCAAGAAATAGCTTCAACATATGTCCAAAGAGCAAGACTCCATCCAAGTAGGCAACAGCAAAATCATTTTCTGCCTGAAAGAGGAAGGGAAGTCTTAAAATGAGTTCTCCCCCAAAAAATTCTGGTCTTGAGTCTGGAGAAAAATGTTCTTGGGGTCAGCAGGGTCACTGTGAAGGTCAAGGACTATTAAGTGAATTGTAGGGAGGGTATCAAAGGAAATTTTGGAAAAACTTTCTTTGGACCAGAGCTCTTTATCCTCCCTACATCACAATGCTGTCTTCTCTCGGGATCAGTTAACAGAGAGCACTTACTGCCTTTAGGGAAGTAAGTAAAATATTTAATTTCAACCAGGAAGGAAAACATACAGCATTTCCAATTCTTGGAAGATTTTATATAGAAAGAGTGCTGTCCTCTACGAGTTAAAGAGAATGACAGGAAAAACAACCCCACTGCTTCTCAGTATCCTGAGTGGGGCAGGGGGAGTTTTGATTGGATGACACCATCGAATCTGCTTTGGAGATCGTCCTGATTGGATGCTCCTCTGACCACCAGCGTCTGCCCTGGGGATCATCCAGGAGGGGACAGAACTCCTCTCCCTCTGCAACAGTTGTGGGGTGGCCTTCACAGAGCTGGGCTATGGGTTGAAAGCGCTGTGCCCACTCCGAGACCAAGAGAGTTCTGTCAGCTCAGACTCTCTGGACTGCCCACCCGCGAAGAATCACACTTCAGCCAGAGACTACAAGCTGTGCAAGTGATATTGTTACTGAAACAAACTTGGGGCCACGCCACCGCACACAGTAAAGCCAATCTAGTGACACCAGGTGGCGGTGAAGGAAAGTGCAGCATTTAGGGCAGGGCGCCATACAAGGAGTTTGGGCCTTTTAGGCACTCGCCGCTCCAGACTCCTGCCTGGTGCCCTGTATATGTATTACTGTATAACAGTGTATGTGTGCATGAAGCTTACCAGTCTTAAATCCTTGGAGAAAGACCTATTTAAGGTGGAATTTTCAGGAGGCAGTGTCAGAACAAGAACATTTTTCATATAGTCAGGGGCTGTGGCATTGTCCCCAAAGTAGTAATCACTGTAATGAAACAGCACAAGGTTCTCATGAGAATTGGTTCCTCCAAAAATAGAAATGGAACTTGTACAATTCATACAGCAGCCTTGAAATAGTTTAGAACACTCCCCCCAACCCCGCAACACTTTCTACTTTCCCCAGGTAAGTTTATTTTCTTCTATGCCTGCTAACTAGCGTAACACAGCTTAGGCAGCTGGTGTTAACATACGCAAATGGAAAGAAAGATCAGAGTACAGATAGTTCTTTGGGGAAGGTTTTTTGGGGTTCTGGGCACATGAGCTAGTGCTTGCTCTTAAGGCTTAATCACTCTTGGTGTATACCTGGAAACTTTCTTTTCTTTAAGTGCTTATAACACTTTAGAGATTTAGGGATACGACAGAGGGAAATTTTATGAATTAAATTTACTTTTCAGATGGTAAAACATAAGCATAAAAGCACTAAACATTCTAACACTGGAAGCTTCTTAACATTAGTTTATTGATCCCTGGATCTTCAACTCCCAGACAATACTTGGCACATCGTGGACCCTCAATGCTGTCTGAGATTGAGCTGCCAGTCATATGGTTTCCAAGCTTCCTAATCATTTTACTGTTTTAATATGCAAATAATCTACCATGCTTGACGTGCTGTAACCAGGATGACCCTCATTTAATATTCAAACGGTAGGTGAGCACATCTATGTACTGAGGACTGTGCTGGAAAGTCTGCTCAGATTGTCACATCTTACTCTAAAAGCACGTCTATAAAGTGGACATTTGTATTCTCATTTTACAAATGAGAAGATTTAATCTCAAGATACTAAGTAATACCAAGAGTCAAATGAACCAGAAGTATCAGAATTAGAATTTGAACTCAAGTTACATCCAGTTTCAAATAAATCTCACGATCTTCCCAAAACATAGCCAGGTGTCTTTAAGCAGTAGGGACAAAAGAATGCCAACACTTTGGCAGTTGACTGAGGATCTGCTAAATGCAAAATTACACCAAGCTGCTTACCTTGAGGCCTCCTTCCAGAGGGCAGAGCAGCTTTCAATGTGGTTGTAGAAATAAAATGTTGTTAATTTTGCCCTCTTTTTGTAAACTGAAGTATAGTTGATTTGCAATGTTGTATTAGTTTCTAGTGTACAGCATAGTGAGTCAGATATGTATGTATGTGTATATATACACACACACATATATTCTTTTTCATTATATGTTATTATAAGATATTGAATACAGGCCCCTGTGCTGTTCAGTAGGACCTTGTTGTTTGCCTTCTTGTCTGTATTTGAAGCTAAAAGCTGATTAAATTATCTTCATGAACAAGATAGGCCTACAGTTCCTACGTTTCATTTTTCTTAACACTGGAACAAGCCCATTCAGTGCGGGTGCAATGACTAGACAAACATGATGTACAGTTATAGCTTCTGGCCTGAATACAGACAGGGCATGACTAATGATCCAGCCAGATAACGGAAGTCATATGATGTAGCTGATGGGGCAAGAGACACAGGTGTATCAGCAACACCTTTTTTGAGTGTAATCTGACTCAGATATTACCTGGGCCCCGCTTGTTGGTGGAGTCCCCAACCATACTAGAAGATGAGCGGTAAAAAGAGTGGATGTGATAAAAGGTGATCTTTGTTCTCCAGAATTTTCTCTCCTTAGCTCCAGAGAAGTGCAGAGGAAGAGATCACTACCCAGTGACTATAAAACAGAGGGCAAAGAATAGTTGTGTAAATCAAATTCGTTTAATGGGAACTTTCCTCTTACCAAAGGTGTCAGAAGGAAGAGTAATCTAGGGCCAAAGGCCATTAGCAATTGAATACACAGATATGGCCGAAGTTCTCAGAATTATTGTGACATTAGCTGATTTATTACTGCCTGGAAAAAGGCCTTAAAATCAGTCTGGGGACCAGGATCTTTGTTGAATGGACATGCGGGTTTAATGGGGTTTTCATAAAACTTTTGTATTTAGACATGATTATGATGTCAAAGGTATGCATCTCTGCTAAGGCTACAATTAAATAAGAATGAGGGCGTGATAAAGAAGAAATTAAACACTGGTTAAAATATTATCCTCACACTGAATCCCATATGAGGCGTGCAAAACAAGAGAAAAGACAATGCCTTCTGGAAATCCTTAGAGCATTTCCTTTCTGAAACAAGGACAGTTCTTCCAAATATTTTACCTACTGGAATAAATCCACTAGAATGATGACAATGTCTTCAGCCACCGCCCGGTCACCCTTGAGGAAGGAGATAGTTTCTGGCGTACCGCATACAACAATCACTGGAGGAGAAAGAGAGAGACAAGGAGAAAAGTGCACAATGATGTCCTCACAAACAGGAAGGGAACCAGGTGCCTGAGTGTGAACCCGGGAAATCCATGCTACCTTTATGTTTTCAGATTAACCCCAGTTCCTCAAATTACCACCCCCCTTTCCTTTTTTCATTTACAGTCGCAGAGTCAGACCAGAGCTACATGGTACCTTAAGAAGAATCGTCTAGTCCATCCCCTTTATTTTACTGATTTTAGGAGACTAGCCACACTGTCAACAGGATAACTAGTAGAGACAGAGACAGCTCTGATATGCAGGTACGGGAGTCCGGCTCAGCACCTGTTCCATTACACCAGGCTGCAGTAGTTACAAAAACTACCTTCACTGGTAAGTGACGCGCACCCACCATTCATAAAGTAGCTGAAAAAGACAGAGTGTGAGTTAATGTAAAAATTTATGCATCTTCCTAAGCACCTTTCTGTGGGTTTTGCTTGCAGCTTCTTAACTCAGACCTCGGTGATCTCAGTGATGGGTCCCAGCCTATAAGCTCTCCCGCAGCCAGATTTCCCAGATGCATGGCTTAGTGAGTGAGGTGAGCTGGGGGACACTTCGTTGCATCAGTTCATATACTGTGTTGTCCAGCTGGATTGTAAATACTTTAAGGACATGAATCGCTTCATACTTTTTCTCCATAACTTGGTCAGTGTTTTGCAAATGGTAGGTTCTTACTAAGGCAAATGCTTGGTAATAACGGTAAATGAGGATTTGCCAAGCAAGAACCTTTCCTTGTAGAAAATTCCAGTTGATTTCACACTTCCTTTGCTTCTGATATATGCTTATTTGTAAAAAAGAATTCTGTGGTGAGGGAAACAAACCACTTAAGAACTTAGAATGATTTTATCCCCATAGCCTTTGACACTTGGCCTCTAACTGAGAGATCACTGGGCAGGTGAAATGCAGAGATTAAATCCTTTCTTACCTTGTAATTTTGCCTAAGACTAGATATCAATCCATACGTCCTTTTGGTCACCAGGGGACCAGTGTTCAGGATATTTGAGGATTAGTCACAAATCCAACAATATATTGGACTGTGGTGAACTTACAAAGCAATTTACTGTCGGTGGATCGTGATAACATTTTGGTTTGTAAAAGCTGGATTTTAACATCATTATTACTTTCATGATAATATATATTTGCTCAATACTGTTTTGTTAATTTATCTCAGAGGATAAGGTTTTAATCAACAACAACAAAAACAATATAATAGAGTTGCAAGCAACTACAGATCTCCCCAAATATACAAAATACATGGAGGTAGCGATGATAGCTCTGTGGTAGTAGGTTTGTCAAAATGACTCAGGGAGGTGGGAGCTGGGGGCAAGAAGCTGCAAAAAATTTATCTTCACGTCTTCTTACCATTGCTTTTCCTGTTCTGGTCCATTAAGATATTCTGAAACTGGTCATCTCCTCTCAACATTTCCTTGAAGCTGAGTTCTTGAGAAAAATAGGAAACTCCAGCCTCCAGAGCATTGAGGTACCTAGAAAAGAAAAAAAAAAGAGAGAGAGAAACTCTAAATTAGCTTAGTTTCTTCATGGTTTCCATATTGTTTGCTAATGTTTACAGATCTGTCCAGGGACTTGTTCATCTAAAATTCATTTATGCTACTAACACAATAGACAATACACACCATGAAACCAATGGTTAGGACTGTGGACATTTAACTTAGGGAAAGTACAGGGGAAGTTTTCGGAAGTGTTTACACATATATATGTATATGTATATACATATATGTATATGTATATACATACACACACACACACACACACACACACACACACACAAATAGTAGACATTTGACAGGTCCCCTATAATGGCTTCCTGCTATTTGCTGAAGGAAGGCTATAAACCAGTCCCATTTTGACAGACAGATTGAAACTTTTGAGCCCATCATACAAAAATTCAGAGTTGATAGGAATAATTTCTCCTCCTTTGTGAAATGGACTTTTATGTGTTCTGAGTTTACCCCCAAAGTTTCTGGGATGAGGCCTTGGGGTTGCTCCTTGCAGCCCCCTGGAGGTGCACTGCCGGCGGTACCCTATTTCAGTCTTCTGCATGCTTTGGTGGAGACAGACTGCAGAACCAAGCAGCATCCTGGAGGTACGGACAGCAAACCCTTCAAGAGATTCCTTCTGCCACCGCTGCTGGAGTTGCATGAACTTTGCAACTTTATTTTAGCGACGGTGCCCAATATCCTGTTCTCCACCCCTATCACCTTATTCCTCTGAAAAGCTGTGAGAGAAATTACTTCTAACCAGTCGTAGGACAGGCAGAATGCGCGTCCTCTGGTATCGTGTCTTGCATGGTAATGTGACAGCATTTACTCCTGGTTTTCATTTTCCTCATCTGTAAAACGGAGATGACAGCACTGGTTCTCTTTTCTTTACGGGGCTCCCTGTGGGGCGTCAATGAAACTAACGTGAAAGTCTTTCGAAAACTAGAGAGAGTGTTAGAAATGCAACCTATGCTGATAGTATTAATGACACCATGTTTCTTTTGGCCCTGTTGCTTTTATTATTTATCCACTTATAACTTTTTTAAATGGAAACATATTTTTCATCAAAAATATGTTTTTAGCTAGGTCACTTTTGCCATTTATGAAGAATTAGAAAAAATTTATAGTCAGTGTATTTTATCATTACACAGACATTTTACGGTCAATCACACTAAGGCAACGAAATGGATCATGTTTAACTAACAAACTATGAGAAAATGCAACTTTTTGAAAATATGTATAAAAACATTTATTAAGAGTTCTCAAGACATATTACACACTCCATATGATTCCTTTTTATCACTATGAAACATTAGCTGCACACTGTACAGAATAAATATTCATTATTCAATTGAACCTGTAGATCTCATATCCTAAGACTGTCAACCTTGATGTCACATGCTCCTTCTTATGCCACTACATTCTAGTAATTAGTAACAATTTGGATAGAGGTCGGGAAGGAAATTGTGGCCACCTTGAATAACTCTGTGCACTCTTTTTAGGAAATAAATATGAGTTAACTTTTAAAACCTGTTCTTGAAAATACATTTTCACCTGTTGCCACGGACCTAGATCATGGAATCAGTGACAGTGCTGCACATTGCCAAATGAAATCTCAGTTTGACCTGATGTTAACGGGTATCTACTCCAGAGAACTCTGCTTAATATATCTAGTTCATATCAGAATAACAAATAGCCTTATGTAAGTATATCTACAGCTTAAGAATGAAATCAATTAAACATAAGCTGTGCACCATGTGTGTGTAAGAAAGTGGGCTAGTGTCCGTTCCCAACGCTGTCGCTCATGGAAGGCGTGTCTGATAACACCTAGTGGCCTGCCAAGCATTTGTGGCCTCTCTCCACGCTAAGCCCTAGACAGGTATTAATGGTCCTGCTTACCAGAAACAGTCCTCAGACTCGGTACTATTCTTGAAAACATACGCAGTGTTCCAGGAGAAAGGTTTGAATGGAAAATTATCGACCTTCCAAAAGTCAACCAAGAAGTACATGAGCTTCCTCGCTGGAGACATCAGCCTGGTTAAAGTCTCTTTGTAGTCACATGACAACCCAAAGCTTCCAGCTGAAATCATGGGGTAGTTCAAATCTGTGTCAAGGCTACGCCAAGAGGGAAGAAAGAAACCGATATCAGGATTAACTGCAGCAGCACAAATAGGATCCCTCTTCAAGCTGTTTCGGCATGCGGTATAAATAACAAGAATAAAATAGGGTCATTCAAGCGGGTGTCCGACCTATAGAGGTCCCTCCCCAAGAGGTGAGTTTTAGAAGACCATTTATCAAACATATGCTGTGTTCTAAGCATACTCGGGATGTTTTCATGTTTGTGTGGTTTGGTTACTTTGATTTATTCTAAAATGAGTTGTCATTTGGGTTGTCACAATGTCTAGGCTGAGACATACGGACTTTGGGGAGGAGGGCTGAGAAAATAGAGGCTGGGCCACCACCGCTACCACACACCCTGTAAAACCTCAGAGATGCTGTACAGTTTCCCTCTGGGCACTGCCTTTTTTTCCAGCTCTTCTACGGGCTGGCTTGGAGACAGACGTCACCTGAGGACTTTACTGTTTTCCTTCCCCTGCTCGGCAAATGGGTCTTCTTGTGGCTCCTGAAATATCTCAGGCTCTGCCTTCTATCAGGGCCTTTACAATTGCCAGGAATGCTGTTTCCTTGTCTCTTTGCCTGGTTGATTCTTACTCACCCATCAGGTCCCAGGTTAAATATCTCTTTATCCGTCAGGAGAACTTTGCTCTATACCTAAGACCAGGTAATTACTTGGCTGAGAATCTGTTTGATATCTGTCTCCACGAGACTGCGAGCACCGTGAAGGTGGGGACCACGTCTGGCTTGTTCACCTCAGCATCTCTGGTTTGCCTGGCCGCATGCAGATGCTCAATGTGTATCTCATACAGGAAGGAAAACAACATCCCCTTCACACGTCAGTGCTCCACTGAAAGGTTTCACCACGTGTCCTGTTGGCATTTCAAACTCCCCATGTTCACAGTCAAGTTTATCTTTTATTTTTATTTGTCAGAACTGTTCCTTATCCAGATTTCTTTTAAAATGTTTGGAGATCTTCGAGGCCTCTTTGACTACTTTTCGTCCACCATCCAACATCCAATCAGTTATCAATGCTATTGAGTCTACCTCTAAACATCTTTCAGAGCTAGCCTCCTATTCCACGGCATCTGTTTTCTTGCCAATTTGGGCCCTCCTCACCCTGGCCGACTCTCCCGTCTTCAGTCTCTCCCGGTGTGCTCCAGTCTTTCCTCCACACTGTTGTCAATTATTCTTCTCAAAGTTAAGCTGCTTCTTATGACACTTCCCTGCTCAGCCTTAGTGGTTTCTGATGCAAATCTGATTAAAAACACTTCCCTCACTTGGAACTCATGACCTCCTAAACATAGCCCTACTTAATGTTTCTAGTTTTAGCTCTATTTTCTCCCTCTACATCTCTTGCACTCCAGTTCATACAGCTTTCTTCAGATCTTCTACACTTCCGTGCTGCTTTAGTTTCACACACACTCCTCCCACTATGAGCTGGCACGCTTATCCCCTCATCTCTATCTGTTACAATTTTACCCTTTCTTCAATGCTCAACTCATATACCATCTCCTTTGTGAAGTCCTTCTCCTCCTGAAGCTTAACTCTCTGAACCAGACTTGATCATTTCCTTCCGGGCATCCCCACCACCTTGTTTGTGCCTCTCTGATGGAAGCCGTCTCACTCTGCCTTGTATTGGTCACCATTGTCCTTGTTGCTGTCTCTGTTTTACTTAATTCTCTTCACCCTGACACAGCCAAGAAGCGTTTTTGCACATGGAAATGCCTCATAAATGGTGCATCAATTTTCTCATCCTCCTTTCCTCCTGGGCACACACTACAGCAATACCAATAAATGGTCAGGTGAGACGACAACTGGGAATGAGTGGGAGGAAGGGTAAGAGTCTGTATGCATTTGGGTTTGGAAGGTGAGCTCAAAAGGTGTTTCTGTGGTGTGTCTACGGTACGTGGTGGGCGTGAACAGCTGAGCGTTTGTACAGCTGGGTGGGAGGTGTCCGAAGCCGACTTTGCAACAGAAATTTCAGAAGTCTAATGTTTACCCTTCAAAATCGATCACAAGGGGTCCTTCAGCATAGCTTTCTCTGTGCAGACAAAGGGTGGGCCCTGATTCAGGGGGAGATTAAACAAGTGAAAGAAAGGCAGGTGGGAGGGATTTTGATTGGGGAAGGTGTGATCCAGCAGAACAAAGTGTTTTGTGGTGATGAGAATTACACCGAGGGAAATGAATGAAAGGGATGGAGGTGATTCTCCCAAAGTCAGAGAAATACTTTCATTCTAAAATATTTTGGAAGCTTTTTTCCCCTAAGCTGATAAGGGCACTGTGCAAAGTACTTTAGTATGTTCTTTGCATAACCCTCAGACAGCTGTAAGAACTCGCTGCCTTCCGTGTTCTTACAGACCTAAGGAGGGAACGGAGCCCCGTGAATGCCCCGCGGTGGTGCACTTCCCTTGGTGTTTCTGTACAACCTGCCCATACCTCTGGGAAGACAGTTCCTTTATTAAACTTCTCAAATTATCCAAGTTCGCGATCATCCCTGCTCCCTGCCAGGAGTCTAACTACTCATCTGTACTGTTTTGCTTCTCAAACTCAGCTTTTAGTCACAGAACCACAGCAGCTCTTGTCACCCACCCTGCACTGAGCAAAGTCAGAGCCACCTGGATGAGAGAATGAAGTTACAGAGAGGCCGCACCCTACGAGGGCCCCGAACCCCTGAGTGCATTGCCTTGACGAGACTGCTGCTTGATCAGTCATTTAAATAGTGTTCTCATGTCCTGACTTCAGTTCACAGTGGCATGAAAACAGCAAACTGAACTACTTACTACATCTGGAAGGTGGAATAGGTACACGAGGGCCCCATGAGGACACAGCCCATCTGTTTTTTCTTCTGTAAGAGAAAAAAAAAACATAAAATAATCTCTAAAATTAAATACAGGAATGAATGCACCGGAAAGGAGCTGCAAGGGGAAAGCTCCCAGAAGGTTAGAAAACGTGCCTCTTGAGATGTAAGAACGCAGAAGGGAGAGGGGAAGCAGGTATGTCTCAGGCTGGTCAAGAGGCGGCCGGGGGATCAAGGAGCCGAGAAGGGGAGAGGCGGCAGATGGAGGGAGGGCGTTCCACTGAAGATGAGCTGACGGAATGTCCACCTGGATTCTCCATCCAGGGGAGGATGTCCAGTGGTGAAAGAGGGATGGGCAGACTGTAAGATTAGCAGTATCTGCAGGCCAGGGGGGGCAGAGACAAGATCTAGAGGTGCTTCTGGGGGAGAGGGCAAGTTTCAGCTTTAGGGAGAGCTGCGAAGCAAGGCTGGAGAGAACAAAATGCACCAGCTGGGACACACTGGATCTTATTTTCTATTTCTCAAGGGGAACCTGATTAGGAACATTCCACCCTTGGTTTTGGAGAACCAGGTTATATCTCCGTCTGAAGAGGTGCTGGGCGGCGGGCACAGCATCTCAGGACTGAACAGCAGAGTTTATTCAACTCCCCTCGCTCCCCCTCCCAGGACCGAGGAGGACAGCTGTGACCAGCCACACTTCCTCACAGGAGGGAGGCCCATTTGGTCGTGATGCTGTGAACTAGAGCTTTAGAACCACGGCTCTGCTCAGCGCTCTGCTTCCTGGAGAGCCCTGTCTCAGGTTTCTGAAGGAAAGGGGCATCTCACACACCTATCTGGAACACTCTCCAGCTCCACAAAGCTCTGGTTGGGGTTGGGGTTGGGAGGAGGGGTGAGACAAGAATCTCTTCCCTTTCCTACCCTTTGACGTTACAGTTACAACTTTAACGTTAGGTTTCAGATTCAGCCCTTCAGCAATTAACCTGTGACCTTGCATAGGGTGATGGCGTGGAGCAGATCTCGGGTGCAGGGCTTTGGAATATATTTTTTAACAGGGCCCCTCAGGTGTTTCTTGAGGGACACAAGGGCAAACTGGTTCATACCAACATTTATATTTTTTGACAAGTTTTAAACACAGTTAAAACAATTCCCCTCCATAACACTGGAAGTGTACAGCTAGTCCATGGCTCAGGTTCTCCCCACTGTCCTGGGTTCCTGGAGGGCCCTCGTCATTTGGGAAAAATATGGAGATAAAGTTAGAGCACCCCGTCTGTCTCCAAACCACTCAGTTGCGTAGCTGGTAAGGACATGAAAGACGCTGATGACAGGTGCCCGAGCTTCACGCTATGATCCTCCAGTGCCAAGAGGGTGTGAGCTGTGTCTGCAAAGGCAGGTACTCACCGAAATTGTCCTGAGTAGGTCCAGGCCTTCACAGGTGCTACTCCGGCAGTCACTCGACTTATAAATCACACCTTCCGAATAGATGAAGGTAGCATTCACCGTCACATTTAGGCCTGTTATCCAGGAATGAGGGAAAAGAGACGACTAGTGTTATTTTTCAGTGAGTTTATACCAGGTACGAGATTTATCTTTTGCCAGTTGATCTTGGGGAGGGGGGGAAAATGAATATCCATTTTCAGGCCTAGGATATTTGAGTTCTGGGTTCTTCTATTACTGCCTGTCACTTCTTTCTCTCTCTTCCTCTGTCTCCCTGTCTCTGTCTGTCCCTCAACAGCTTTACTGAGGTATAATTTACCCATTTGAGGGGTTGGGTGCTCAGTGGTAGAGCACATGCTTAGCATGCAAGAGGTCCTGGGTTCAATCCCCAGTACCTCCGTTAAAAATTTTTTTAAATAAATAAATAAGAGATGAGAGTACATACTTAGGTAGGACTAGCCAAATAGGAGGTCAATATAAAAAGACCAGTTAGAGAAAATTAATGGAAGTAGGGTCAGTGATGGATTTAACAGCAATGAACACATAACCGATTGTAGCCACGCGCTAGCCACAGCAGAAGTGCTTTTTACCCTTTACCTTACCTAACTCTCATAACAGTAGGGCAAATACAGGGTATATGAAGCCAAGAGATCAGTATGAGGGAGGCTGTGGTGGACCTGGGGGAAGGGGAGTGCATGCGGGGAATAGTAGAAAATGGGGTGGAGAGCGTCTGGGAAAGCAGCAAGAGGAGGCAGGAAGGGAAGTGGAGGCCAGCGCACAGTCACATGATGAACACAAGGCTTCGGGAAGACGGTCACCTTGGCAGCTGTTAATGTGTAAGCTAGCTCCTCCGCCTCGACCTCCCGTCCCCAGCGGGGCCCTGCTCTCTCCTGCCAGCATGAAGAACACTGAAGACGGCCATTGCACAACCCAAGCGTAAATCCTGCACAAGGCCTTGCAGAGGGGAACCAACATCTGTTGAGTGATCTCGGACAAGTGGCTTCACCGCTGGGGCCCCAGTTCCTCAGCCACTTCTTGCTGGGCTAGAACTGGACGATCTCTGATCTCCAGGACCACCTGCCTAGCACCGGGCTATGAGTTGCGCATGCTTTACTTCACTTAATCCTCTCCTGAATCCTCTGAGCTTAATTAACATTGTTGTCTTTTCAATTTAAAAGTAAGAAAAAGGAGATCCAGAGAGGTAGGTTAGCGTGCTTAGGGTTACCAGCTAGCAAGCAGTGGAGCTGGGTTTTGAACCTGGGGCAGCCTGATTCTAGAACCTGATACTGCAGACCAGTGGCTCTCAAAGTGTGTGCCCAAGATTCCTGACATACCTGGGGACTCTTTCTGGATGTCCAGGGAGTCAAAACTATTCTATAATTCCAGTAAAACATTCTTCACCTTTTTCCACTCTCCTTCTGTCATGGGCATATGGTAACACTTCCCAGAGGCGACATAATATGTAGTATGGCAACATTGTAATTGCAGAAGCAGAGGTGACTATCTCACCAATACACCCTACTGTTTACGTGATACGTCTGGTAACTTGGCTGCCAACAGCAGCAACAGCACAGCATTAACGTCCTCAACAGGGACAACAGTGACGGTGACAACAGGAAGGACAGCTGCCACTTACTGAGTTCTTGCTACGTTCCAGCCGGTTTATTAGGTACTTTAAGTGAAATTCCTCCTTTAACTCACGCCATATGCACATGGGGAACCTACGACCTATTATGACTTTATAGGTGAGGGAATTGAGGCTCAGAAAAGGTGAGATCCCTGGTGAGAAACGGTTGGATAAAAGGCTAGAATATGAACCAAGATCTGTCCGACTCCAAATCTCTGCTTCTAACCACAGAGTTCCACTACTTTATGTTAATGAGAAAGTTAGTTCATGGTGGGTGAAGGTCTTAGAGCGGCAACATGATACACTCTGTGGAATCAGACAGAAATGGGTCTGAATCTCATTTCAAACAATCTATATGACTTCAGCAAAGTTATTCAACCTCTGCGGTGGAACAGTGTCAACATTGCTAATCTTTCAGAACTGAGGTGATTGAAGAGTTTATAGCTTACCGAGCACCTGCAAGGTGCTCAGAAAACAAGAAAACCAAGCTCAGGGACACCGAGGCAAACAGCTTCCCCATGGCTGCCAAGAGAAAGCTCTGGGACACGGACTCCAATTCAGGTCCTCGGATTTCAAATCAAATGTTCTTTCTACTACACCAACCCCACAGCCTACATGAATAAGGGGATTTTATTAAAAGATCTCCTAGTTCCCTTACAGCTCCAGATCGGATTCATCTGTCTACATCTGAATCCCAGCTCAGACAGGACTGAAGAAACGCACATTGCACAGAAGAAAGTCATTACACATATATGATGTATAACATCTACGGCTATTTTAACACAGAATTTGAAATAGAGAAAAGTAAGACACAGCCTTCTCAGAACCATAAATAACCATTAAGATGTATGAAACCATCATTGACTCAGTAATTACACTTCTGGCAATCCAGTCTCAAAGAATGGGGAAAAAAGCTATGTACTTAAAATTATGTTTCTTAGTAATTTTAAAACAGTTGTGAGAAATTTAAAACAATGGAATATCCTACAATAGGGAATGATTAGATGATTTGGGAAGCTATCTACTCCAAAGGGTACTGTACATCCACTCACACGATGCTATGAAGATTACGCAGCTGTGGGAAAGTCACCTGTAGAATAATGTGAAATGAAGTAGGAAGGATAGAAATTGTTTCTATGCCATCGTGCCCCCAACTACGTTCCTAAAAACAAGAAACCGAGAAGCATTTGAAAAGACACTGGAAACATCCAGGTGGCTGGAAATTACCAGGGGTGATTTTTTTTCTCTTTACATGTTTTATCTAACGTTATAAAGTTTATTTTAATAATTAAGAGATATAGCAAAGAATCATAACACTGAACGTGACTGCAAATTTATCACGTTGACTATATCTTAATAGCCACCAGAGATGTAGAATGAATAGATGGACTAAAAATGCCAGAGAAAGATTCAGCAACAGTATGAATTCTACTTAATTCATTTTCTTGACTGCTAACCCTTTGAAGTCTCAGGTCCGGACCAAATCTGCCCTCTGAGAAGCTGCAGAAGGGAACATTACGTCTCCCTGATACTGACGGGAAGATCTAGTTTCATCTGGGGCCTTTTAACACCTGGCATTCCCCGGGCCGGGGCCATGCCAAGAACAGAGAGGAATACAAGTGAGGTAGGGCTCAAATCCTTCTCTCTGAGGATCTGCTGCCTTGAAATAGAAAAGGGTTGTGGGACAGGCCGTTAGAGAAGCTTGGGCGATCAGGCGAGGAACGCAAGGTCCTCCCTTAGCAGCCCTTTGCCCCCAGATGTGGGAACAGGAACAGATGTGTTCTTACCAGCTTCACGCAGACGCTGCCTCACTGTTTTCACACCCTCATTCACCACTGCTTTCAGGTTCTCCAGGGGCTCTGGGAAGGCCGAGTTGTTCATCATCAGGACACTGATCTCATAGTTGCCATCGTGGCAGTTCTGACTCACGTGGGACGCCCAGAACATCAGCCCTGGTCGCAGGAGCAGGGACCACAAAGCCAAGCCCGGGAGCAGCGTCTTCATGACCTCCCTCACCTCAGAACCATGCTCCCTGGGCTCACTCGCTTTACTCTGGGCTCCCAGGGAGGCAAGCACCCCAGCCGGACAGCCTGTAGCTCGGTCCCTCGGTCCACACTTCCCCACGCTCCTTTCTGGTCACTCCACTGGTCACGTGGACCATAGGCTTACAGCCTGACTGTCAGCAATTAGCAGCTACATTATAGGAGGAGATAAACCAAAGTTCACTTTGTGTGTTTGCTCACAGAAAGGTCAGAGTTATAAACAGGGAGATTTATATCCTGCGCCTCACCCAATAAAAGAAAAAAGCATCAACTGGTGATACATCACCGAGAAGAGGGAAAAGAGGAAGAGGGCAGTGTTGTATACATAAAAAAATGCTTTGTGAAATGGAAAATAAAGGTCAAAGAGTTTAAGGCAGGCACAAATATGATGGGTTATTTGTCTCTAGGTTATAGTTCCACACTGACACTGAATCCTTAACTAGGAAGATCTGTGTTTCAATCACCCAGTCAGCAACTACTTACTGAAACTTGACTACGTATGGGGCACTGTAAGGCACCGGGCATCCTGTCATGGATACATTAATGTCCTCATGGAACACGCATTCTGGTAGGGAAGACAAACATCAGTAAATAATTATGAATAACTGAACAGTGAAAAAAGTGCAGAGTGCTGTGGGAGCACATGGCAGATTAACCTAACTTGTTCCAGAAAGTCAAGGAAGCTTCCCTGAGAAAGTGTCCTTTAAGCTGAGCCCTGAAGGATGAAGAGGAGTTACCTGAATGCAAAGAGAGGGAGGGGCAGAGCTGGTGCAAAGACCCAGAGGTGGGAGGTGGCAGGGATGTTTGAGGAACTGAAAGAGATACAGTGTGACCGGAGTGAAGAAAGCTAGTCCAGTGGCGATAAAGGATGCCAGAGCTGTGGGCGAGGCTGGGCCATGGGGTTTCCTGCAAGCCATTAAGAACCTGGAACTTTACCCTGAGTCATCATCAGATACATTTTGTAAAGACCACTTAGGCTGCAGTAGAAGGAATGACCTGGAGAGAGGCAGGAGTGGGGACATGGAGCAAACTGAGAGGCTGTTTCGGTGGTTTAAGTGAGAGGTGAAGGGGGCCAGGTGAGGGCAGTGGCAGTGGAAATGGGTTCGAGAGTCTTGGTGCCAAAGATGTCTATGGTTAATAAGTTAACAGTTACCCTCAGATGGAAACAGCCCTGGGAGAGTGCTGGTGTACAATGAAGGAGCTGCAGCAACCCAGCGGAGCTCAAAACCCAAGACGGCCCCGCAGAAACACACAGGAAGCACTGTGTGTGTGTCACTCCATCCCTCGGTCTGGCACAGCTCTGCAACAAGAAGGATCCCCTTGGCTGTGACCTCTCTCTGGGCAGGAAAGCAGAGCAAGTGGATCCCAGCAGCCCTCACCACTGCTGTGGATACCGGCAGCTTCTGCCATTGAGGACTTCTAGTCTGTATCCACACTGACTCCAGCTGACAGAGCTGTGCCTCCTTGGAGAAGGAGCTACCTGCCTCAGCTCCCTTGAGGCCGGAGCCACTACACCTCCTGCCTCAGCGCCACTATGCCTGCACCCCAGACCTCAGCACGAAGAATGGCTGCAGAATGGATGTTGTGTCAGTATCATGAAAACGACATTAATCTCTTTGTGCATCTCCATCCGAGCTCTTGGGTGACCAGCTGCTTGTCAGTGAGCAGCAATATTTTGAGCAGGTCTCAAAAGTGGGCTTAAAATATTCAGTAAACCAGGCTGTATGTAAATTATGCTGTCATGCAGACTTTGTCATTGCACTTACAAAGCACAGGCAGAGTAGAGTTAGCACAATTCTAAAGGGTCCTAGAATTTTTCAAATGGTAACTGAGCACTGACTTCAACTTCAAGTCACCAAGTACAACAGCCCCTAATGAGAATCAGCCTGTCCTTTGAAGCTTTGAAGCCAGACATTGACTTCTCCTCTCCAGCTATGAAAGTCCTAAATGGCATCATCTTCCAACATAAGGCTGTTTTGTCTACACTGAAACTCTGTTGTTTGGCGTAGCACCTTCATTAATTACCTTATCTCAATCTTCCGGGCGACTCGCTGCAGCTTCTACACCAACACTTGCGGCTTCACCTTGTACTTGGATATTATGGAGATGGCTTCTTTCCTTAAGCCTCATGAGCCAACCTCTGCTGGCTTCAGGCTTCTCTTCTGCAGCTTCCTCACCTCGCTCAGCCTTCACAGAACTGAAGAGAGGTAGGGCCTTGCTCTGGATTCCACTTCCACTTAAAGGAACATGGTGGCTGGTTGGATCTTCTATCCAGCCCACTACAACCTGCTCCACGTCAGCAGTAAGGCTGTTTCTCTTTCTCTTCATGTGTGTGTTCACTGGAGCAGCACTTTTAACTTCCTTCAAAACCTTTTCCTTTGCTTTCACAGCTTGGTTCACTGTTTGGTCCAAGAGGCCTAGTTTTCAGCCTGTCTCAGCTTTTGACATGCCTTCCCTACTAAGCTTCATCATTTCTAGCTTTTGACTTAGAGTCAGAGACATGCGACTCCTCTTTTCACTTGAACACTTACAGGCCATTGTAGGGATATTAACTTTTCTAATTTCTATATTGTTGTGTCTCAGGGAATAAGGAGGCCTGGGGAGAGGATGAAAGATGGGGAACAGCTAGTGGAAGGAACAGTCAGAACACACACAATACTTATTAATTTGGTGGTACCCCAAAACAATTGCAATAATAAAACCAAGGGTCACTGGTGACAGATCACCACAACAAATATAATAATGAAAAAGTTTGGTATTTTGTGAAAATTACCAAAATGTGACACAGAGACATAAAGTGAACAAATGGCGCCAATAGACTTGCTTGATGCAGTTACCACAAACCCTTAATTTGTAAGTGCTCAACAGACCTGAACTCCCTGATGGCTTTGATTCAGAAGGAAGGCCGTGGGATTATTTTATGGGGTGGGGTGGGTGGTGATGAGCAACTGACAGTGGTCAGGTGCCCCTTGGAGACTTTTAGTGGATGTCAGGAAAATGGTACAGCAGGCTGCAGAGCACAGGGGCACATGGCCATCACAACTGTTATCTTTACTACAGGTAATGATTTTATATGCTGCACATTTGGTGGCCAAATGCGGACTCAAACCTGGTTGTCTAACTGTTAATATGTTGCTATTCCCACTTCCTGAGGTAGGAGAAAGAGTACACTGTTTTTGCTTTTTTAATTTGGTCTGCGAATTACAAATATATATATATATAAAAGGGCCATGTCTAAGGATGGATGAAGTAGTAACTGTCAGGTGCTTTGCATTCAGACATGAAGACAGAAGGTGCATGCAGTTCTGGGAATCCTCTGATTATAGCATAAAACCAGGAAAGGTTTTTCAAAAGGGTAGGAACAAGATAACAGTCCTTCCTGGATCCTTTAAGGCAAAAATTATGTGTTTTCTTTATGTTGTAAAACTATTAACGTCTAGATCATAATTAAAGGGAGGCAGGTTCTCCTGGGAAAGTGTCAAAGGTCAAAAGCAAATAATGGAACACTGAGTTGGCAGATTTATCAGCTACACTCAGCAGAACAGAACAGCCCTAAAGATATAAGAAAAAAAGGGAAGTCACTCCAATGGGAAGGGGCAGCTGAACAAGTCCCCTGCATGTGCCACTTTTCACTTTGGGTCTCTTTTGCATACTTCCTGTTAAGACCCGCTTCTCACCTTGGAGCCTAAACACACGGCACCTGTCCACTTGGTAGCAGTCCTAGGCTTCCTCTGTCCCTTATCTTGGTGGAGATGCAAAAGTGAGTTTTTCAAATGGAATTTCACCAACTAATGTAACTCATGGAATTAAACATGAATTTTTTTAAATAAGCACAAAGGTAGAGATTCTGATCTAAATTTATTGAGGAAAAATGGCTATCATAAGGTACTTTTCTTTTCTCCCCAGTGTTACTGAGAAACAGCTGGAACACATCACTGTATAAGTTTAAGGCGTACAGCATGGTGGTTTGATTTATACGTATTGTGAAATGAGGACCACAATTGGTTCAACTAATATCCATTTTCCCATACAGATACAACAAAAAAAGAAAAGAAAGAAGAAAGGAAGAACAAAATTCTCCTTGTGATGAGAACTTTCAGATTTATTCCTTAACAACTTTCCTATCTGTTAGCTATAGTCAGTCATCAGGTTGTACAGAAGAGAATTTACTAACTGATGATTTAACAGACTCACCAGATTAACTGAAACACACCCTGAATGCCTGCAGCCAGTGGGCATGTGTACCTCTGCTCCCTCCTGTTTTAAGTCATTTGCTCACCAGGGGTCCCTTGTGTCTGTGCCCAAAGTTGCTAAATTGATTTATTAAATTATGTCCTTCATTAAATGGTACACAATCTGATAAAATACACACAAAAACTACTAGAAATCTTAAACAAAGGCAAATTACTAAGACAACAGCTGTGGCAAAACTGCTATGAACACTGGGGAATAACAAAGAAACCTAAAAAAAAAAGTCTGTCCTTAGAGCTTGTCAAATGCCTTAAAACACCAAACACCAAAAGCCGTACAAGATGCACTAGGGGTGTGGGTGACTTAAGAAAGCTGATACAGAGCTCTGACCTGGGGCCTCACGCTCAAAGATTTCTTGGTCCTACATCAACCAACTGGTGAATAAATGAACGTGGCTATGTTTTGAGATGAAATTAAATATATTTAAGGTATAAATGTGTAATTTTAAATGATTTCTTCTTTAACTTTTTTCTTCCTGGGAAGGAAATACTTACGGTCCTATTCACATGGTTACATAATGGCAGATGGATTCAGGTAACTGAAAAGCGATAGGGTTTTGCTGAGCACTCAAATGGGTTTGGTTATGCAAACCTTCCAAGTTACACAGAGAGAAATACAAATTGATATATATATATATATATCATATTAAAAATATATATATATTAAAATGAGGAAAATCTGCAGTTCCTAGGGCCAATCCAGGAATAAGGGAAAGAGGAGGAGAGATGGAAAGAGAAAAAGGGAAAAAGGAGCCAACAAGATGGCAAGAGGCTGGGAGCTACACAGAAAGAAATGGCCAGTGAGACAGGCCGAGTGGGATGGGGGCTGAAGACTTTTGAGAACAAGGATGTATAAGATATGAGGTTGCCTGTGTTTCCTTTGAGGAAAAGATGCCTTTTGTCATCCAGACGACAGATACTTACTGGGTGCCCTCTAATCGTTCCCAGGACTGTAGTCATACAAACGAATACACTTCCGTCTCCCTGATAATTCTCTTCTAGTGGGAATTTAAAACCGATAGAAGTGGTTGACTCACCCCAAACCTTCAGTCAAGGCTGTGCCGTGTACACCCTGTCTCACATGTGGGAATCATAGAAAGGTGCTCAGATATGTTTCGAGATGGATGGGGTAGGACCGCGAACAGGATGGCTCCATGACTCTCCGAAGCAAGTCTGAAGTCAGAGGTGATCATGGTAGTTTAAGACTTTAGGCTTTGATGAAATATTGGGACGTGTTTTTGGACTTTCTACAAATACGCAATGAGATTCAAAGTAATCTTACCCAGGGCACAAGGCAGGGGGACCCGACGGACACGCGAATCCCTATGGTACGCCGGGCTGCGGATCTAAATCCAGCACCGGCGTCTGGATGCTCCAGGCTGACAGGCTTGTTTCTTTTCCCCCTTATACCTGGAGTCCTCCCCTCCCCAATTCCAAAACTCTATTGAATCCTTGAGCAGCGTCTTCCTCTCCTTCTTCCCGAGCTCATTTTGTGCAGTATTCTTACATGCTCAGGAAAGGCTGGACTGGGTGGTTGTTCTACTTGCAGGGACAGGGGAAATTAGCTTCAGTTTCCTAGTGACTCTTGGATGAAGTCCTGTCCAGGTGGCTATGTTTACGTACGAAGGGAAGGATGTGTTGGAGACAGTGATAATGCATCTCAGCTCTACTCAAGTTCTCTGTGCTCTGGAAATAGCTTTGTTTTCTCTTATCTCCAACACACGGAAGGAAAAAGGCACAGTCCATTCCCGAAGCTGCCAAAGAGTGGTTAGTTGAGCTGGTAAGTCAGTCCTGAAACAGGAGCTCTGTATTTTCCTGTAGAGAAGCCAGGTATCACTCTCCCCCACCCCACCCCACCTCAGGGCAGCTGAAGGATTACTTCCTCATATGGGTTGAACTAATAGCTTGGGAAAGAAGGAAAGAAGACAGTGCTCAGTTCCCTGACTCACAAACTCTTTATGAACAGAGTACCTGTCCGTTTTGTTTACTGACGCTTCCTTAGCAGGGAGTTGCGAAGGCAGGACGAGCATTTAAAGAGGAGAGCTGTATATTTTGAGATAAAGAGGAGCTTCTTTGAGTTTCAGGAGGCAGTTTGATATACTTAAACAGGAAACCTAACCCCAGAGAACCCGAAGCTGGATTTGAATCTTGTTTTAGCTGTTTGCTAAGCATATGAACTCGGGCAGATTACCTACATTTGCTGTTCTTCGGTTGTTTTATTTATAAAATAAATTTAATTTCTGTTCTAGCCAGTGAGCCTGCGCTGTGACTCTTGCTGGAGTTTGGACATGGGTAGGTGTGCCAGATGACTGATGAGATTTGCGCGAACAGTATGCGCTCACCTGGGGTTGAAGAGTCACACCACAGGTGATTCATTCCCAGGGCAACAGCCAGTGAACTGCAGAATTCAGCCACTGTTCTATTCTAGCCCGTCTCCAATCCAGCCCACACATGTAGGCCTTAGTTCAAAAGACAAAAATATCTGGAATAAAAAACCGAAAGCACAGCCTGATACAGAACTCAGCAGACTATTAAGTCACAGATACAATTGCCAGGGACCCTCTAACAGGTTCCATCATGTAAAGGAGAGGAATGTTGTTCTTCACTTGGTCAAAAATTGGCACCTGCTCTGGCACTTGGAGGGTCCTCCACGGTGGTTGCCAGGAGCTGCTGGGACTGGGGCAACGCCCAGTAGGGGGCCTCAGTGTATTAGCAAATTGGGCCCACCAGGGGGCAGAACCCGCTGGAGACCTTCATGCTCAGTGTGCCTACAGCAGTACCCAGGACAAGGATGCTTACAGGACAGTATTCAAGACACGCCTAGCACATCCAGAAATATAAGAGCAACAAGTGAAAACTCAGTAACTGCTGTTGCCGTGAACTTCATAGATTCCAGCACGGGAAAGTCTGGGTGAGTTAAAGTAGAATAGGGCATTATAAAGTTCCTGGCCCCTGGTAGGTGTTCAACAACTGTAAGTTATGGTTATTCCTTGATGCCATTCAAGCAGCAGAATCAATAGCTCCTTCCTTTGTGCCATTTCTGTCTGTAGTAGGTACATTTTCTCTAATTTTAATTGAAATTAATTGTGTGAAAAAGTTAAATGTATGACAACTTTACTGTAACAGAAAAGAATGATAGCAGAAAGAAATTTCAGCAGTATTCAAGAAATATTTATAGGGCTAGATGTGGTGTTAAAAAGTACCCCTAAAACAAATATTTGGAATGTACCCCAGGAACAAAAACCTAAACTGTATTTATTTAAACTTCTTTATTGTTTGAAATATATTTATAGGGAACCCGCAGGATACATTTGAAAGAAGAAAAGTTCTGAAATGTACAGTATTAGATATTCCTTTTCACATTATGCATGAGACTAGGAAAAATGAGTTTGTCGAATGCTTAAAACGTGGCATAATTTTTTGAAGGAGGAACAAATGCCTGATGAAATAGGATGAGATGCAAAGAGAAAAAAAAGATCAAGGGGAGAAAAGTCTTATTAATCCTTCAAGATGGCAGAAACTTGTTGCCCAAAGACACATCATATAATTGTAAATGTGACCACATTCCACACATCATTTTTCTGTAAAAAACTGAAAGGAGTTTGGGTTTGCTATGGGAATAATACATCGGTTTTGAGTCTGCAGTCATCTTTTTTTTTATATTTGGAGCCAAGACTTCTTGCTTTTAGGTCACAAACACCTTGACAGGCTTTTTAAACTCTCAGAAATCTAGACAGTGATAGACTGTCCCTGGTAAGTAAGGATGTAAAATAGTGAGTAAGAAGCCAAGCCCATTTATGGCTGGCATCACAGCATCCCTGTGAAATAAAAGGAGAGAGTGTTTAAATTGAGGTGTTTGTCAGAGAAGTGAAGGCTGAGAGTCAACAAAACAAAGTACAAAGCTGTAAATCTGTCAGGAAAGAAAATACAAGTATATTGAGGATGTGAATGTGGAGGCTAGTGGAAATTCTTGGCATAAATTTAGAGAGAAAGCGGCAAGGGTAGACTGAAACATAAAAATGAAATCAGCAGGAATGATAGCAACCATGCTGGAAGTTTGGGATTTTGCTACAGAACCAAACTTGGGTTCACTTGACTGCACACAGTAAATCTCCTGACATCTGGTGGTGGTGAAGGAAAGTACAGCGTTTACTGTAAGGCACCAGACAGGGAGCCTGGGGCAGCTAACGCTCTAAAAGTCCCAGCCCCCTAGTGGGCTTCAGGGAGGCATTTTTAAAGGCCAGGTGAGGAAGGGGAGTTACGGGGTATGTGATCAGCTTGTGCACGACTCTCCTGATTGGTTGACGGTGAGGCAACGGCGCTGTCATGGGGTTAGCATCATCAATCCTCAGGCTCCAGTAGGTCTGGGGGCTCTGTGCTCATGGGAATCAAGTAGTTAGCATCTTTGTTATCATTGTAACTTGCATCCTGACTTTTTAAAGATAACTGTATATACTAAGATGCATGAAATCCCTTTGTATATACATCGCTATTTTATAATAGCGTAATTTTAATTCAGTAAAGAAAATAAGTCAACAATTTTAAAAAGTAGTGTCTTCCATTTGGCAGGGGTTTCAGGAACGTGCATCAGATGCTATCTGTGTACTTCAGAGAGGAAGTAAAGCAGGGGATACAGGGGAGGGATCTGCACCCCCCAACCCCCCCCCAGGAAGGCCCCATGGGGTCCTGCTGTGTTACAGTTTTACCATGAAAAAAATGGAGGAAGTCAGATCAAGAAGTTTCTGGTGTCAGATTTCTTGTGTGCTGCTGATGGGGACTTTCTGCATGACCCCATAAAAGAACTAGAGACTTAAAAAAAAACAGGTATATATTTGCTCTTGAAAGACGGAGGGTTAGGAGAAAACAAACTAGTTTTACAGTTTAATGCTTTTGAACTTAGGAAGGGAGGAAGAGGTGGACAGCACTTGAGATACAAGATTCAAATCCCCTCCTTCCCCTCCTAGTTGAAGGGTTCCTAGAAACGGTATATACTCGGATGAAGAGGAAACACTCCCTAAATTGGCACATGTGAAGAGCATGGTGAAGATTCCTGCAAGGATGGAGACGGCTGAGGACCCAGAATGGAAGCTCAGGAAAAGACCGTTAGAGAAAAAACGATGAATACTTCAAGGCCTGAGCCAAGGATAGAGTCTGACTTTGTTAAATCAGCTATGACTTCTCTGGTGATAAATGTTTCCTTAATAAAGGTCTGTATGTGAGGCAGACGACAACAACAAAAAAAAGATGTCTATCCTTAAAATGGAAATTATTGGGCTTGAAGAGAAAATTTTGGAAAATCATGACAGGGTCACTGAAGTGGAAGTTGGGGAAAACTCAAAAGGCCATCAGAGTTAGCATCTGCCAGGCACTGAGCACCTACCTGGGACTCGCCACTCCAATTACTTCGTTGACTCTTCCCCACTGTATTTTGGAGAGTTTTATTATCTGCATTTTAAGGAGGAAGAAAAATCTTTGGGTCCAAGGCCACTTGGGCTGTAAGGAGTAGAGCCAGAGTTTGGATCGGTTTTGCCACCTTCCAGAAGCAAAGCCCTTTCCACGCTGAGCTTATTAATTAAGACGGGGGCCGGGGAGGAGGGCATGTGGGGAGTCATCTGGAGGGGCAAGAGGTTAAACCAAATTAAATAACAAAGAAGCAGTTTCTGGAAGGAGAGTGAGGACATTCGGAGGGGAATAAATTTGACACATAAGGGCGTTGAAGAATATAAAAGGATAACAGACATAAGAAAGCAAAACACGTAAAGAGAAAATGGCAAAAACCTGGGAGTGCTTAATGTGTAAGGATATGATTACATGTCATACAAGGCATTTTGTTTAGTTAGCTTTTATGAAAAAAAATTATAAAAATGAATGGACCTTTAGACGAATAGATGGGAAGTATGACAGTTTGTGACAAAGTTTGTCTGGTTACGGTGTCCGCGTTTAGTCTTCTCTCCTGTGACAAGACTCAATTTTCCCTGGTGGATGAATCTCCCAGGGAGGGGATTTTTGACAACTGAGCTCCTTTTGGAGGATCTGTCTTTAGGTAGACAAGGGGAGTTCAAATACAAATACAAGGAGCCTTTCCTTGTATTTGCTGTTTTTCAAGTGCCAACAGCTCAAAATAATCAGTATGCCAAAGTGGCATTTTTGGAGGGTGGCGTGATTTGCTGTTCTTCACTGTTTGCGCTTTCTTCCTAGGAAATCTCATCCGTGGCTGTATCTAGTCTCTAGAAGGTGGTGACTGAACTTAAGTTTTACATCTGGAACTCTGACCTCTTCCTGAACTCCAGATTCAAAAACGTAATCATCCTGATGATTCCACTAGGATGTGGAATGGAGGCCTCAAACACAGCATGTCCAGAACAGAACTCTGGATTGCATCCCCCTGTATCACGCTCCAGTCTTCACCATCCTTAGGAAACAGAATCCTCAACCACCCTATTATTCAATCAAAGTCCTAGGAGTCATCCTTGATTTCTTTCTTTCCTTCATCCCCCACATCCAATAGTGTATGCAAATCCTATCAGCTCTGCGGCCACATTTCCAAAAGAAGGCTCACTCCTTCCCTCTGCATTAGTACCACCCTAGTCCAAACCATCAGATACAGTCAGAGCCCTAACTGGCCTCCCTGCTTCAGCTTCTGTCCTTTTACAATCCATTTCCGACACAACAACCAACAGGTATTTTTTTAAAAGAATTAAACCAGATTGCGTACTACTGCTTCCTAAAACTCTCAGTGGCTTGCCACTGTATTTATTATAATAACAATGACCACACCTCGTATTTACCAAGAGCCAAACATAATCTAAGTGCTTTATACAAATTCACTCAATCATCACAAAAGTCTATGATATCACTTTCATTATTATTCCTGTTTTTCAGATGGGGAAACTGAGGCAAGACTGGTTAAATAATTTGTCTGAGGTCATGCACATGCTGAGTGTTGGTTCCGGTGGTGTTCAACCCTAAGCAATCTAGCTCTAGGGTCTGTCTTCTTAAGCAACACATTACTGCCTCTCAACAGAACCTGAATTCAGAACTTTACATCAGCAGTTCTTAATCTTTGGATCTCAGGACCCCTTCTTAAAAATTACTAAAGGCCCTAAAAACTTTCAATTATTGGGTTTTAACCATTGATACTTACTAAATTAAAAATGTAAAAACAGAAAAAATTAAAATATTTGTTCGTTTATTTTAAATAATAATATTAAACCCATGACATGTTAACATAAATATATTTTTATGTTGGTGCAGTCACTATGGAATACTGTATAGAGGTTCCTTAAAAAACTAAAAATAGAGTTACCCTCACAGCAAAAAAAATGTAACAATGAATATATGTATGTTTATGTATGACTGAAAAATTGTGCTCTACACTGGAATTTGACACGACATTATAAAATGACTGTAACCCGATAAAAAAAGTTTAAATAAATAAATTAAAAATAAAAATAGAGCTACCATATAATCCAGCAATCCC